CCTGTTTTTCAATGACTGTTTACTAAGAAATCGATATTCAAGGAGGAAATTTATGTACCTTTACTCATTACCTTTAAACAAGCGATCCGTCATTTACAATCAAAACTTGGAAAATGTACTGATTTTCCATCGAAACATTTTGAAGAGACAAGGAGGTGTTACTTTTTCACCATATCTACGGCTTGTTTTAATCCAACAAGGCGACTCTTATAAACTGCCTCGAAGCACGATTGCGTGCTATGTGCATCCATCGACTTCCCGGCCATTTGCCATACCCACTCTACTAATACTAATTTAAATAAATAAATTTAACGCATAAAGAAATCCACGCTGGCGTCGCTGGCTTTGTGAATAAATTAATACCAGAGGTTGTTCGGGGTGTAAAATATTATAACGTCATTAGGGGCGCTTCGAAAGTTCCCGCGCAGCCTAACACTGCGCCGTTATTGGGAGAGTCCAAACTAATGGGAAGCATATCATGTTGCAATTTAATTATGCCCGCTTTGTGGATACATCCAGACCTTCTTTGTCCATTGCTTATTTTGATAACACGTCCAGTTTTAGTCGCCCGTCCGATATTTATTAATTGGAGAGTTTAGCACCTTGAGTAAATTCAGGCAAATACTGGCACTATAATGTTATATTACGCAGTGCTTTCTTATAAACTTGGTCTGCTAGTAGTCAGGTGTTATTAAAGCGCATAAAATTTTACATTTATTAGAAAATGCATATAGATTGTAATGAAAATATATGCAATGCTAAAGATATTTAGAAAAAGACTACGCACTTTCAACATCCTTGTTAATGCTGACCACATCTCTTGCAAATACCAAATGGACCTCCTGCTGTGTCCAATGACCTCCTAGTAGTTAATGAACCAATAAAGGCACAATGAACCGACAGGTCAGAAAGGTTCTCGAGTGGCAGCCTCGTACTGGCCAACGCAGTGTAAGACAATCCTCCACTAGATTTAGTGACGACCTGTGCAAATGTGCGGGTAGCCGATGGATGTAGGCAGCTCGAGGATACACCTTCGTGGCAGTTTATTCGTGAGGATGATAATGACGAAAGGCAGTATGGCCTGTGGAGAGTGGCAGCCCGAAAGTCTCTACTCCAATTAATGTCTCAATAATGTTCACTGAAAAAATCCTGCGTGATTTATAACTAAAGCATGTTCCTTCATTTTGCATTGGTAGATGGCTGCAAAAATTTCCCGCACAATTTCAACTACCGCCAACGTCTAAACGCGCTACGGCCAAACCAATTAGAACGCAAAATGGGCCGTCGCCCGCCTCGGTTTGCCGAACCGAAATGTAGCCTAAGTGCCGAAACCAGAATAAACATTGGTTAAAACGTGAACCGCCGCCGAATAACTGATCGCAAACGAATTATCACTCTCACATCACCCGCCAAATTAATGACGCGAAAAATGCTCTGACATATTGTGTTACTAGCTGCTTCCCGCGACTACGTCGGCGTAGAATAGGCTGAAGGCGTAACATTCAGACAGAAAGATATACATAAAATGTATATAAATTATAGCTATGTGTTATTCTGATCTATAAGCTATATTATTGTAAAGTTTATAATCCATTCGGTAGCATTTGCGTGAAAGAGTAACAAACATCCATCCATACATACAAACTTTCGCCTTTACAATATTAGTAAGGATAGTATTCGATAAATTAAGAACAAATCAGTCTCACATATTTGAATGCTTGATGAATTTCGCCAGTTCGCAAGTCTAGCTCATTGTTCCACTCCTTTTTTTTGTCGTGCTCATTGAATGTACCTATTCTTTTAGGGTTCCGTACCCAATGGGTAAAACGGGACCCTATTACTAAAACTCTGTCTGTCTGTTCTGTACACCAGGCTGTATCACATGAACCGTGATAGCTAAAACGTCGAAATGTCCACAGAATGATGTATTTTCGTTGCCACTTTAACAACAGATGTACTAAAAATATTTAGTTGGGACTCCCATACAACAGATTTGTTTTACTGCCGTTATTATAGATAATTGTACGGAATCCTTCGTGCGCTAGTCTCGCACTTGAACGGTTTTCTTATCAACACATAAAACGCCCAATAAATCACTTTTGATTGGTTCCCCTTTTTACAAGTAAAGTACCTGATGAGATGCATTTCTCTCTTTCTCTTAAAACAATTTAGTGTTTATTTAAATTTGAGACAAGGAAAAACTACAAAAGTGAATTTTGTGTGATAGAGCATTAATGTCCATTGACACATAAATTTTAAATTAAGTATCTAAAATAAATTACCATTATCGTTTGGTTTGTGAAGTATAAAGCAGGTATGTGACGAAACATTTTTGTTTTATGGCAAGTGGCAACTTAGCAAATATTAACTCGCGTTTTTTTTAGCGTACTGCTAAAACATCCAATTAGTATATACTTGCAACCGTACTCAGTCACCACCACGTGTCGTCAAGAATTTAAGCCGATTTAGCGAAGCGGTTCGCTTACCGAGCCATCCGTGTGTATAATTTTTATATAAATGTCGCATATTTATATTAAGGGTTCCATACCCAAAGGGTTAAACTGGACCTTATTACTAAGACTTCGATGTCTGTCTGTCCGTCTGTCACCAGGCTGTATCTCATGAACCGTGATGGTAAGACAGTTGAAATTTTCGCAGTTGACGCATTTTTGTTGCCGCTATACAACTAAAAAACAGAATAGAAATATTTTTAAGTGGGGCTCCCATACAATAGATATGTTTTTTGCCGTTTTTAAAGATAATGTTTTATTTAAATTTAGTTATCTTAGAATTTCTTTAATTGTTTCATTCGAACTTTTACTTCTTACTTTACGAAGAAACGAAAACTCAGTGAAAGTCTATTACACTTCTAAAATTAGTACTTAAATAGGCTGGACTTAAAATTAAAATCTGCAAGCAGTTCTCCTCATACTGTGAAATAACAACGATAAGTACTGTTGTTATAAATGTGAAACGTATAGAATCTAACTGAAAAATCAAACGTTCACATCAAAGTCAACCCTTGATATGTTGCTTATTAAAAATATCAAGGCATTCGTTAAAATTCTTTCGAACAAAGTATTGGAAAATCTCTTTCATACCTTTGAGACTTGTCTGAAGGATACGGCAAAGAGTCTCTAATACTTTTGTTATGAAACTATAACGAGAAAGAAAGAAAGCCCGTAGCTTCGGAGAAAATATTTGCCATCGATAAGACCCGTTTTGTATGTTTATATTTAGCTCGAATGAAAAATATAAATTATTAAAGTTATACATGTTTACGAGAGCTCTTCGCTATTAAATGAATTCACCTCCGGAGAGTATTAGATGCGAAGAGAATAAGCTTAAAACGAAAGTAATAAATCCGTAACAATAGTTTCACATTAATATAAAACAACTTCTAAAACATTTCACCGTATTTCCAATGTCTACTAGGGCTGGTGCTGATGGTCACACGTGTTAGCGGATTGCTCCGCCGATCTGTGAAAAATCGTCCAGCAAAATATCCATTATGAACGCCATAAGCCTAATTAAATTCGATCACGCTTAGTCCCGTCACTCAACACGCTTTCAGGGCAGTTAGCGCTCACACCTATCTCCAGCCGACAGGCTGTAAAATTCTATCGGATAACACGAAACAGACAACGCGGAATATATTAGCGTAAGGGCCTTCTGAAAAATCTCCGTTCAGTAGTGCTGTGAATAAATCTTCAGTTAGTATTTTGATCGAGGTTCGCGTAGGATTTATTTACACACTACTCCTCTTGTAATATTTCTCACAGATTTTGTTCGGGTCTTACGCTTTTGGTAAATATTTGCAATATTCATCATAATTGACTAACGGTCGTTTTACGGTGGGTTTTAATAAAAAAATTAGCAATGAACTCTTCTTAAAACTTTACTATCAATAACTTTAATATAAATATATTTTGTTCGGAAGTAATATCGGACTAGTAACATTTAATCGCAATACTTCAGAATATTTCACATTTTGCAAATGCAGTGGATAAACTATAATCTAATATGTTATTTAATTTTGTCAGTTTCCGTTTAGATATTTCAACTGCAATAGCCTATTCGATCTGCTTGCATTTCAGAAAAAGTAATTATCAACACGTTGCCAAGCTAAGGGCCAAGCCGGTGCCAGACACCTGTTACTTCCTGTTTACACCAAGAATTCCTTGCGAATCGTTTCTCGTACAAGTTGCGAAAGTTTGAGACGTCAACTGAAGTTCCGAAGGATACTGGAGAATTTTTCATGGCAATACTATCCGAAAAAATTTCTAACGAGTTCTTCCCTTTTGTAGCTGTTTATTCCCCGAATATATTGCGAAATAAAGTATTTCGACGAAACGAACAAGCAATTATTTTTTTTAAATCGAACATAATACAAATAACTTCTTTGATATCTACCAACGATTTTAATAGATATGTAAGGCTTTCTAAATTTCGCCAAAGACTCCCCTCAACGCCACCAGTATCGTCACTGCTGTACCGTCACAGCTTTGGGCCAGCGACATTTGCAAGAATAAAATCATAAAATCGTTGAGAATAAGTCCGAATCGTTTGGTTTTTAGTTTGGAACCGGTGATCATAAAACAACACGTGGTACAATTCTGTTAAACCTTTCTAACATTAACAGATTTTGGTTTTTCGGGTTCCGTACTCAAAGGGTAAAATACCCTTTTACTGAGACTGCACTGTCTATTTGTCCGTCCGTCGGTCACCAGGCTGTTATTGTAACCATCACAGTTAATGAGATACATTAACCGTGATAGTCACACAGTTGAAATTTGCACATGAGGATGTGTTTCCGTGGTGCTGTAACAACAAGTACTAAAAACCAGAATAAATAAATATTAGCATACAGCAGACATGATTTTTTTTGCTTCTTTATAGATAATGGTACGGAACCCGCCGCACGCGAGTCCGACTCGCACCTGACCGGTTTTATGTAATTGCAACGAGAGGCAGCAGTTTGCGGGTATTATGACGCGCGTATGATTGGCGTGTGGTTCGATCCGCGGAGCGTCACGTACGCGCCCACGCGCAAGTTTGCGTGTGCCGGCGAATGTAAAGACAGCGAACGTAATGGGCGAATGCGCGCGGAATATCCATAAGCTTGTTTGCATCGCGTCGCAGACTGTACCCCCTTCGAAGGCATATCCAACTAACTAGCCTTATTGACAGCACAGCGCCCCGCTGGATAATCACGGACACACTGCGACGTGGAGGCGGCAGTCTGGGATTTTGCCGACGTACGACCAAATCTTCTCGTTATCTCATAGTCGATGCCACGTCCATCGCGTGGTAGTTTTGTGGCTCATTGGTTCAACCACAATCAACGGATACCAACGTAGTGATTTATACTCATAATGATACTTAGTAAGGTTTTTTGTAGCAAAATTAGAGATCGTTGCTCAATTCTAGGGGCACATCTTTATTTATGACTTGGCTTAAGAAGTTCATACGTACAATCTTTTGCATACTATGGCCTTTGAAAGGTACGTACCTATGTAGTTACTCGCAGTTAAACATGGCATTTCAAACAATTTTGATAAACAAACATACATATAAAACGATCCGCTGTTTGATCTTCCAGCAGAAATGTGGGCTGTTCGCAAAAAAAAAAATATATACGACCTGTCAAATCCTTTACCACTAACGGGGTAAACGGAATATAAAAGCCGCGTTCTGATATTTATCTTTATAAAAAAAAGTTTAGCTTCCACTTTGTGTCCACAAAACTCACCGATGCATGCATAGAGTTGATATTTGTTCAGATCAAAGCTATTGAGTCTTTATATACTTTTTATTCCGAATTTCCAAAACGGTAACGAAAAAAAAAACGGTCACAGCAAAGCGTGGTCGGTTTCAGCTAGCTTGGTTCACGAAACCATTGGTTTTCTGTATTCACGCGAATAGTGTACATGGTTAAATGAAACTATTTTACAGATTTAATGGTCTATTATTTTGATTTTACTTATCCGGACAGCGTTTATGGTCACAATGTAAAGCTCAAACCATATAACATTTTTTTTAATTTCTCTAAAATTAGGCATCACTATTTAAAAAATCCATTGCTTTACTTCTTGCACGGAGTGGAACAGTAATTTTACTAATGCCCGGTGTCAGATTGAGCTCTAGTTAATTCAAATTCTTAATACTGCGTATTTCTTCTCTATTAACACACTTTAACATTTCCTCAAAAATTTTAATGGTTCTGCGTATAAGGTCTTTATTATTAAAATGTCGTGAAAACATATTTTAGTGGAACGGGCGGATTTATATCGAACATCTATTTTTTCACCTCATAATTTTGTTGTTCCTTTATCGATGTCCGCAGTGATTTACTTTGGTCGCAAACGGTTAGCGGGAAATGCCATTATTTTTTCCTATTTTACATTTGGCATGGATTTGCTTTTATTGCCAATTTATTTCGGCGTAATAAAATATGCGAAGCGTAATATAGCCGTGTGGGTATAAGAGGACGCGGTCGAGAAAAAAAAAAGTCGATAAGGAGCCTCCTTCCTGGAACGTTGAGCGCTGTTGTGCGTAATCTGTTTGCTAATCAAACACCGTCCTCGCGCTACCACGATCTCTCGAACTCGCCGCGACTCCGCGTGCGGCCGGCGAGTGAATCTCCCGCGGGCTCGCTGCTAACGAGCTGTTAGTGTAATTCCATTCGAGAGCTACTACGCTTTCTCGAAACTGCGCAGCCTTTTGTCTGGCTCGAGCTCTGTCGACTTGTTAGCGCATAATGAGATTCTATAAAACGCAACGCCACAGCGAGCATGAAGCGAAATGGAAGCGACGTTTGACTTAACATTATGGGATTTTGCAAAACTCCCGTTGTTTTATGATGACTAGCGACCCGCCCAGACTTCGCACGGGTTTAATGTATTATATATAAACGTTCCTCTTGACAGACAGATAGCGAGTCGACTTTGTTTTATACTATGTATGATGATAAAATGGTGCTTCATTTTTAGAATTTTTTTGTAACGCAAATATAAAACTGATGTAATTTACGTAAATGAGCTAATATCGTAAGTAAATAAATTAACGAAGATCACACTGTAAAAATTGGACGGACAGACGGACAATTGTTAGCGATGAGTATCATTCATAGAGTGACTGGAGTGAGTTGTTAATTAGTGACCTTGATCGCTCACCCTCACTCGTGAAGTCACCTCGCCCCTTGGCGATATTTTTCCCTAGTAACGGAAGGGGGATGGCATAATTATTGACGGCAACCGAACACGTATGCTTGATAGTACTGATGGGGAAGATTTGCAACAGATTGTTCACATACTTTTCGGCGTCGGAGTTTATTGAACTCTCTACTGAAAGAGGACTCACTTCATACATTAGTGTCACGTTTTTGTATTAAACGTTTTTGTATTAACCAAACGATTTGAGCCGTGATAGTTTTGTCCAAAGAGATTCTTAGCTTCATTTTTTTTAAATTCTTCTCCTGTGAACTTTAACCAAGCCTAATTTGTGTGCGCCGTATTCCTTGAAAATAAATTCAAAGTGTTTACATCTCGTGTAGCTGATTAATATTTCATAAATCACTATTTAGCACGTTCGTTGAGAGCATAATTCCTTGAGCGCTTCGTAGGGCTGCCGTGCACGAGGCACTTGCTTACCCTGAATTTTTCTACTCATGGACTAGTTCTGAACTCCAGAAAATTTTTAAGAAAAAAAAAGTTCAAAACAGTTTTGTTATTTCGCTTTGAAAAAAACTTAAGAAGCGTTAATCGCTTCTTTGTAAAACAATCTTTTATACGATTAGTACTCTCAAAATGGACTACTTCGTCGTTTTTGGAGCAACTCAACTAAAGGACCACGAATCAGATTTGGATAAACACTAATATCTGACAGATGGAGGTGGGTAACAAATGGTGATATATACAAAGTCCATGTTTGCCTTACGATAATGATTTCCTGTCGACGCGTGTTCGTCTGCCGCTAATCGAGTATCGGAAGGTCGTACAACGGGCCCCTTTCAGGGGAAATGTCCTGCTAACACGTTTATTTAAGATTTTTGTATCGGCGTAGATACGTAGATACGTACTGTTTGATATGCAATATATTTAAATTCATGCCACTTAGGGAAGCGTCTGGAAATTTTGTTAATTAATTAATTAATTTATTTATTTAGACTTACAGCTATTAAAACCTAACTAACCTTAAACTAGATGGCAAACAGCCTAAAACAAGCATTCACTCATAGAAATATTAAAGTTGTAGAGCAGACAAGTACTGTAGCTGATTAATGTGGTAAATAAAAAATTACAAATGAATATTACAAGTTAAATTTATAAGACAATTTTACCTATTTATCTTGCTTAAAAAAGTTAAGGCTTAAGCACCTTCTTGCCGAAGACACACTCGTTGTGAATGGATCAAAATCGTGCTGTTTACATATTTTATTGAAGCTTGCATTTGCACGCACAATATAAGTATTTTGCCTGTAATTTTATCGATGTTATCTGTTTATGTTGTTTAATGTTGCAGCACAACTTAGAGATATAACGATATTTCTCTGATGTCTCGAGGCAAGCAATGAACACACCAAAGTACATACTCATTGCACATTGCTATAATACAACATTATGCTATGATATAAAGCCGAGGAGTGCTCGTTTATTGAAGTGCAGAACCGATCCATGTCTCAACATTTAATGTACTGGACAGCTCTTGGGGTAACATGGATTTTTTATTTGTTAGTAATGTTCAAACAAGTGGCACCAATACCGTTAGTAAAAACAATGTAGGTAATCATGGTAATAGTTCCATTAGACATGTCGATCACATCTTGCATTGAATTACAAACAAAAATAAAGTAACATTGTAACTTTCGGTAGGCACCTAGTATTATTAACGTTTCCCTATTACTAAGACTCCGTTTTCTGTCTGTCTGTCTGTCCGTCTGTCACCAGGCTGTATCTCATAAACCGTGATAGTTAGACACTTTAAATTTTCACAGATGATGTATTTCTGTTGCCGCTATATCAACAAACACTAAAAGAACAGAATTAAAAAATACGTTGCGGGTCCGTATTGCACTTGGCTGGTTTTCTACGTGGTGTATTGTTCAACGAAATGTATACTGGCCCATTTACGACAACAAACTTAAGAATCATCAATTTTAAAGCTTATAAATCGATATTTCCGAAGGCTTGGGTATTTTTGGCATGGAATTTTCACTCCCAAATATAACATCACGCTTATCTGGGTGATACCAAAAAGTTTTTCTTAAAGTTTCTCTTGTTTTATTTTTTATATTTAATTAGGCATGATTTTCACGCACGTTCCTTTAAGATGAAAGATCTTGTATGTGTATTTAACTGAAGATTTTCAAACGTTATTTGCATGGACCACTCGGTGTCCACAAGTAGGCTCCCTGGAATGGCCGTCTAATACAACGAAATTCTACGCGATCGGTGATGAATTTCATGTTCACACGCTTTCAAACCGCCATAAGCCTGTTCATAGGGCGGCCTCGGATGAAGTATTTATTTTTAATCTTATTAAAAATATCTTTTACACTATCTTGAATATATTTAACAAATTTCACGTTTCATATTCTTACTGATATTGTGAAAAACTATAACTATTTGAAAAATTAAATATTAGACTAAAAAGTAAAGTAAATTTAGAGCCTATACTTGGTCGACTGTGTGTTAGGTTATACTTTATACTCCACGTGATCCCATTAAGGATTTGACAGATTTGATGTGTCTTCTATACATTTCATTTTGACTTTTATTATAGGTAATATTTTTATATGAGAAATGTGGCAAGCGAGCCGGCGGTTCACCTGATGTTAAATGACAACCGCCCATGCTTCTCTGGACGGTCCTGCACATTCTTGCAACAGCGAATACTGTTGCGTGGCTCTACCACAGTTAGGTTAGCTTAAAAACAAGCTAGATTTCCTCGCGGTGTTGTTTACGTGATATGTCAGGTATTAACTTTGCAATTAAAAAATTCATCGGTGCCCGCAGCGGGATTTTACTCGTCTATTATGAATTAAAGGCGACCGCCTCGACGCTGAGCTGTCGTGACTTACGGCCGGTCTCCAGATAGATTTGGTTACTGGAGATAGAATATTTCACGTAACTATTATGGAGCTAATGTCAAATACCTATCGCTAGTGACCAAATCTATCTGTAGATATAATATTGAAACCGGCCGTTACTCGAACGAAACTAAAAGCTGTAGTGCAACCTTACTAACAATGTTACGTTGTTTAATTCAACTGTATTTCACTCCATGCAAGACTTGAAGCGAGTTCTACACGAATCGGTATGACGAAGTATGATAATAATTATTGTTGAAACATTTGCTCAATATTTTTTTCGAATATCGTTAAAATGTCATGACATGACAGTCAAGCGTAGACTGTACCCGTATTGTTATTGCAACCCCATTTACGGGTTCTGATGCTAATAATGCTCTGTGGGCCTATCATACATTGACTGTGGTAGGCGCACGAATGGGACCGTCCTTCTGGGTAAGTACCACTATTTTACAGAAGACCGGAGTGAAGTGAAATTGTTACACATCTGCGTTTCGTCTGGTGAGTGAGGTAGCCGGGGCCCACTTTAATCAAAATGTGACAACGCATCTGCAACCTTAGGGGTGTTGTATAAGTCAAAAGATACACGTGTCTTATACAGTGAGGTTAAATGCGCCTAATTTTTAATGTTGGCAACACATTTGCACCCGTTAGGTGTTTAAGATAGGATAGCAGTCGGCAATCTTTCAACATTGGGCGAAACGCCTTCTTGATTGACAACTTTTTACACAGAAAAGACTCAAAAAGAAAATCATCCAAAAGAAACGTAGACACGTGACTCCTTGGTTTTTCTGTTCCATAAATAGAGCCTATCGCCCTATAAAGCGGCAACGTTAACGTTACGAACTGATTAATAATTCGTTTTCCAATCCGAGCCGAGCAGTAATCGATGCTTTTGTTTCGATTACGCCGTATTGCTTATTAACCGGCCACGAACTGTTCAGTCTTCCTATTGGAGCCATTTTAGGGTTTGACGTCATTGACCTGATAATTTATTTAGACTACGTTTATTGCTGTTAACTGTTGTTTATATTTAGTGTTCTACATGTTGGATATCTAGCATCCAACATGTAGAACACAACAGTGTTCTACACACTAAATATAAACACACCGTTATACGTGTGGTTCGACATTTATTCACCTGTCCCGCCCGCCACTTTTATTAGGCACTTTGATCGGAAAAGTACTCACTTGTTATTGTAAAGTTTTAGCTGGCCATAGATAATTAGCACAATGTATTAATGAAGCTAATGGGAAGTTCGCAATTGCATCGTAATGGGAACTCATGAGGTGCTAAGTACACTAATTTATTTCAAAGGCACGATTCGATGTCTGGACGGTGTACAGAGTTTATGACACCACAAAATTATTATTTAGCGGCCGTAAAAATTTATCGGTCGCAATAGTTAGTTCCACATATGCCGTCGGTCGTGCGGTGCACGGGGCGCGCTGTTCTTCGCGTAACTTTAAGGTAACATTGATGACTCCGTGGCGCAGTTGCCAAGGCGTTGGCTTCGGCGCCGGGGGTCGTGGGTTCGACTCCCACACGGATCGACTATATTTCGAGTGGCCCACAAACAACTCATTCGGATCTGGATGTTTGTCCGCGTGTAATTTATGTGTAATGTGTTTAACATAAAAGAGAAAGAGAACAGAACCCGCGTCAGTACTGTTACTATCGGTTTATACCGATCAGTTACCGTAGGGAGCGTTTCGCAAGTAAGCACTTGTGAAAAGGGGAACATCGAGTACCCGTTTCTGTGGGATTCGAAGCCGGCACGGCACACTACTCCGGCAGACAGGCCCTTCGCGCCGCGTGGGGCGGCGCACATATCGAATGCATTGACTGGCCGAGTTATGCAAGAACACGTCGTTATTCGGACGCACGCTCAAGCGTCCATAGCTGGATTACCCCGTGTTCAGTTTGTATTCGATTTCCATCGTCTATACAAATGGAACGATAGAGGTCTGCTGCAGTGCGCGCATCGCCGAAATAATAATGGATTAGATTTGAACAAATCTGATACACTTCTTGGACAATTGCGCACACCCATTAATAAAAAAATCAGTTTTACTTCTTTCACTGCGCGCAATCAGTTGGCAATGTGCGCACGTAAGGAGTTATAACTACTTATTTAGCGTAACAAAAGCAAAGTAACTAAACTTTGTTTGTTTGAAACGTACATTAAATGCACTTGATAAAGGTTTAATTATATAATCTGGAATTCTAAGTAAACGTCAAAAAGTTGTTTATGGTTGTCAAGGTATACCGCGGCAACCAACTTGAGGATATTACCATGGTGATGTTTCCTTGCCGTGGAAAAGTGGGGCGATCGGTGTAGCTGTTAATATAAACAGAGCAGAGGAATTCGCGGCCATCAGTTTGCCATTTTAAGCGACTCGTGGCTGATTTAAGTAGAACTAAGAATTGAAAGTCTGGTTCCCGTTCATTGATGTTACTCAAGACAGTATTCTAATCTCCATTCTATCACTTTCACAGGTAGCTCTGCATAGTTCAATTTTTGGATGATAGAATATCATCGGTGGAATAGCCGTTAGCGGTTTTATTAAAACTCATATTTGAAATTTATTCAGCGGACTGGAAAGTTATCTGAATACGCATATTATACTTATGTCGGTGCACATATAGTCCGTTAGCATAGTTTGCATTCGTTTTTCGCAGAAATCATGTCAAATTATAAATTGATTGACAACTTTAATGGACACGTATAATAACTATCCAATAGAATTTGATTTCAACTATCTCGTTTTCCGATTTTTCATATATAGTGTAGAGCTTGAATTTTATGAAACCACTAAAAAAATTCAAATGGATTCATTGATGTTTCTTATGTTATGTTTATGACAAAATATGTTATTCCTTTCATAGCTTTTAACTTTATTTGGCAAACTGTTTTTCCTTATAGATAATTCCTTCTGTCAATAAGATAAGTGAATTGAGCATGTTCCAACGTGTACAAAATAATCCATAAATTGAAGTGGCCACGCTGTTTGTTTTCGCCGATTCCACTCGGGGCATAGCTTTGTTTATCGGCTCCCTAATTGAGAAGACAATTAAGACGGTAGCGTGCTTTAATTGCAGGTGATATTAATGAGGTAACACCATCCCGGAAGCTGGACTACGGGTATGGAATGTTAGAAGAGAAATCATTAAAATGCATTACCCCATTCCTAGACTGACCGTAAATACCGTGTGAAGAGAGATTTTATTCTAAACTTTCGAAGTTACATACCTTTTGGCGCGATCGTGATAAACGTGTGTGTATTTGATGGTACGAGTAGTAACAATTCTTTTACGATGCGCGACACCCCTACACTTAAAGTGACATCGACTTCACGGTGTTACTATGGCAACCAATGGCAAATTTTTCACACAACTACACAGCATAAAACAAAGCCGCCTCGCTGTCTGTCTGTCTCTATGTATGCTTAGATTTTTAAAACTACGCAACGGATCTTGATGCGGTTTTTTACTAGATAGAGTGATTCAAGAGGAAGGTTTATTTGTATAATACATTGCACCCGTGCGAAGCCGGGGTGGATCGCTAGTTTATCTATAATTCCAAGTTATTTATTTAGACTCTTAGGAATTGCATTTTATATCTATTTTTCTATTTTTCGCAAAACGGAGCGTAGTCGCACACGGGATAAAATTTTTGGTTATTGTTCTGTCAAATATTTTGTTTTCTTACTCATATTCATTTAGGTCTAACTAGCGACTATCTAACGACTTTACAAGAGTAGAACAAGAAGACTAGCCGCGTCATGAATAGTATATTTTTTTATCTAAACTGAAATATAATGTACTAACGAACCCTGTTCCTAATCCACTTCAGGGTCCTACTTCATATCCAAGACTCGTGTAAAAGACAACGTCTTAAATAAGCAAAATTTCATCAAAATTGGTCCAGCCGTTTAGGAGTAGTTTAGTCACGCACGCACGGAAAAATTGTATATATTTAAACATTTTCCTCTCAAAGTAAACGTCAAATATCTCTATTAAATATAGAAGCATTACACTTATTTATTGATCGTCAATAAATTACTACCGGTTCGGAAAGAAAGCCACTGGCCTGAGAAGAACCGGCGAAAAAACCTCAGCGGGGCATTATTTTTTTTTTTCAATTTAACTTGACAAAAAAATAACGAGCATGGGTGCAATTTATTAAATTCCCCTTGAAAGAGCCTGGAGCGATCAATTCATTTCCAGAGTGTGTTATCACTCAAATAATCCCTAATATTAGAATAGCCATTAACACACAAACGTTCCTTAACAACTGGTTTTAACAGCCTTTTTTTTTAGCAACAGATTAATTTTGAACCTTCATTAGAAATGAAGATCATTCTGGTCGATTCAGAGAGTTAAACCATCCTATTGGCAACTCAAATGACATTTGAAAAGCCATTATGCCAGCTGATTAGTTGACATCTACGATGAACAGTGCTTCAGAAAGCGGGCGTAAGCGGGGAAAGCTCCATTTCGAGGTCCCGTCACGCGGGGTAAACGGGCCCAGCCCTACTTCCCTACATCCCGTTTTGTGGCGACCCTCGGCGGTTTTCTGTCACCCCGCTCCGGGGGAATCCTCGCAGACGCCGCGTCCGCCGCGGCCATTAAAACTGCACTTGTTTATCCACGCAACGTCAGCTAAGTTGCGCACTCCACTGCTAGCCGTGGACCTAATTAGTGCGCTCTTTTTATCCTAGTCGGGAGGAAAAACTTGAAACGTGACGACAACGGTGAGGGAGATTTGGTAACATATTTGAAAAGAGGCACACAGAAAAGAGAGAAAAAAATCAGAAATGACAAATAACAGGGGGGGGGGGGGGGGGGGGGGGGGACAAAATGAAAACGAGCCCGAATGAAAATATAGGTAAATGATATTCATCAACCGGTCGTATCAGGTTTTCCCTATTAGTAAATTACAATATGACGAAATGAACATAATTATGTTTTGTCGCATTTAATCGAAATGAAGATAAATTTTAACATTAAAATGAAATAAGAGAACTGGATTTCTGTTTTTAATAAATTAAATTCATGCAACGTGCTAAATACATCGGAACATTTTCCGGCTTAATTTTTTATGTTAATTTCCCATTGATTCTGTGTTTTTTGAAACCAACTTAATATTGAAAAATATCAGAGCTATAAATTAACAGATTAAAAAGTGTGCTTTATTTCTGTGTAATGTTACATCACTGTAGTTTTTTCACTGGTATTAATTTCTTAAAACAAAATGTCATTGTTAACAATTGCCTTTGACATAATTACAACATTATATGCATTATTCAAGTATTCAATATTTGTATAGGTAAATGGAATGTGTTAGTTACACGGAGAATTTAATTGAGCTTAAGTAGATTCATCGTGCAAGCCGGGGAGAATAAACTAAGATAAAAATATATATGATTTCTGTCTGCATGTGTTCGTATCATTCACGCATTCGAAAGCGCACACTGATATGATCTTATCCTTTAAACGAGCAGTTCTTGTATATATATATATATATATGATATATATATATTATCGGAATCTCGGAAACGGCTCCAGCGATTTTCATGAAATTTAGTATGTGCATAGATTCGGGGGCGAAAAATCGATCTAGCTAGGTTTCATTTTTAGAAAATGTCCTTTTATCCCTGTTTTCACGGAATGAAAAATATCATTCGAATATGACGGTAAATTTCGCCGCGAGAGAAAATGTCATAATAGCTCGGTCGGTAATCGGGCGGACCCAAAACAGACGGCCGTGGTTCGTGTCACGATCATTTACACACTCTTTTTTTTTTTTGATCCAGAGAATTTTGTTTTTTTTTCCCCTTTTTTTAAAGTTGTTTCTTTTGTGAAAAACACCACTTCATATTTTCTTATTAATATGTCGGTAAGATCGAAAAATATTATGCATATTTCATTACTCAGTAATTTGTAGTTAAATGTAATTTCCAAAATACACGATTTAAAAAAAAAACAAACCGAGCAAAGCTCCAGGTACTTTCAGATTAAGAAAAAAACGTATAAAATAATTTTACAATTTGTTAAAATTATTGACTTTTAATTCCATTTATGTTGGAACAGGCACTAGTGGGTAACGCATGCTTGTTCCCGCGAAAAGCTAATCAATTTGTTTTTAACACGGTCTTGGTATTTCAACACCGGGCGAACAGCACGTGCCTTTATTGTTTATGTTATTGGCAACTGCGTGTTCATGACCGCATTTCGTTATTTTATTACGGGAGCTATTTTAACAGAGTATAAATAGTTGCAATTAATCAATGGCCTAAGCGTAATATTGTAAGCGTACTGCGCGCGGTTTGGTTCACGCGGTGTTAGGATTCGATGACGTGAAAGCCCCGTAGAACTTACTCAAAGAAACGTCATACAAAAAGTTCTGTATTTATCTGTGGGTGCATTTAAACGCGTGCATGCGAGGTGAATTAAACTGTATCACTCGATACAAATCTCTTATACCACTTTATCACTTGAAGGGCCAACTCGTTTTGTCATCTTCTTACATAAAAAACCCGCCAAGTGCGAGGCGGACTTGCCGGGCGCAAGTGCAAAGCAACGGTCCGTACCATTATCTATGATAACGGCAAAACAAAATCATGACTGTTGTATGGGAGCCCCACTTAAATATTATTTTATTCTGTTTTTTAGTATTTCTAGTTATAGCGGCAATAGAAATACATACTCTGTGAAATTTTCTAACTGTCTAACTATCACGGTTCATGAGATACAGCCTGATGACAGACGGACAGACAGACGGCCGCAGAGTCTTAGTAATATGATCCTTTGGGTACGGAACCCTAAAAAGGAAAAAAATAAGGTAGAATCTTATTTATGTAACATATTTGTATATTAGTCAGTAATACATTTAACATTTACGTATTGCATTGTATATATAGATATAACGAACCTTACCTATCTACGCATTCTTTACGTAATCGTCAACCGATTTGTTTTGAGGCGGTACTATATGAAATGACGGTAGGGAACTTTTTGACTCAAAACGTGTATATATATGCTTGCACATATGGAGCGACCCCAATCTAGCATACGATCAGTATTTCGAACTAACTAATTCGAAAGTCGGCTTACAGTTTTACCGTCTCCAGCGTCTATCTGGAAGCATGAAGGAAATCGAAATGCCAACAGAGCTGATTACTGCAAGCCACTATACATGCGATGACGTAAATGCGGTGTAGTGTTTGCCCAGTTGTCACGTGGAGGCGTGTTTACGAACGTCACGAACGAAGCAAGTAGCAAAAACGGCCCAAACTTGACGTCCCGTTCCCATGACTTGCCATAATCAACATCCAGATGAGGGTGTGCTTGCCGTTTTTTAATAGCGATTATCGCAACAAACACATACGATTTCCAATAGTCTTTAGGGCATAAATATGAAATAGTTATGTGAAATAGTTAAATAGTTTGAGAGTATAACAATATTCAACTCTATTAGTATAGAGCTGTTGTTGAAAGTTGTGTTTTTCTGTATTAGGCAAACATTAAAAGACCTTCCTTTTCTTTAAAAGAATACAGAATATTCTGTTCAATGTAATGTCTTGAATTCTAATATGTATTCAAGTGTCATACATAACGAATGAATTAATAACATACAATACATTTAAATATGTCTATGTTAAACATCCGTAACCTTTTTTTTTGCTTCCTGACATTTTAAAAATGTTATCCCCTGTAATATAAAAATAATATGTTACAAGTGTAATATATTATTTTTATTCGAATGATGAAATCTTTCTACCTCTCAAATCATCACCATCATCATCCTCCGCCTTGACCTTTTCCCACCTAGGTGGGGTTGGTACAACATGAGAATCATGTTGTAAGCAGTTTTGGTTGTCTTTCCTTCTTTCAATGTGAGAAAGTGGCAAACGAGCTGGCGGTTCACCTGATGTTAAGTGATAACCGCCTGCCCGTGGACATTTGCAACACCCGTGGGGTCGAGATGCGTTGCCACCTCTTAATAAAGTGGGCCCCGGCTACCTCACTCACCAGACGAAACGCAGAAGTGCAACACTACTACACGCTATTATTCTGCGAGGTCGTGATACTAACATGGACGGACCTGCTCATTCCTGTAACAGCAAACACTGTTGCTTGGTCCTACCACCGTTGAAACGGTTCTTACGCGGGCCAGCTGCCTGACGTCAACTCTCCTTGGAAACAGACACCCAATATATCCATAATCTCCAACATTCGGAGTATTTCTCTTTATAACGTACTAGCTACTGCCTGCGACTACGTCTGCGTAGAATAGGCTGAAAGCGTAACATTCAGACAGAAAGACATATATACATAAAAATATTTATAGCTATAATTTATAGCCTGTCTTATTCTGATGTATAAGCTATATATTATTGTAAAGTTTCATTAGAATCCATTCAGTATCTAGTATTTGCGTGAAAGAGTAACAGACATCCATCCACACAAAAAAACTTTCGCCTTTATAATATTAGTAAGGATTCACACACATGCTAAGCTTATTAAAGCGTGTTTAACACAAACCATGTTTTCTATAAACAGTTGGCGTCCCGCAAACAATATGTTCGCGCATTGCACAAGAATTGGCCAATATTTCTGGGTTTACGATTATTACTAATAACGAATGAGCATGTGGCATACGAAACGGTCGGCTTTAATTGTACTGAGTAGGTCAAACGTGCGTCGTCCGCCCAAACGCCTTGTAACTCAATATTCCTTAAATTATATCACTTAAAGCCGCGCGCAATGCAATAAATATCAGCTTGTGACAGTTATATATAGGCCTCGTAAAAACCCAACGTCTGCCCATCCATTTGACAATCAGAGAGCATTCTCAACGAGCATCTTATAACCGAAACTTAGCAATAAAAATTTACTGAACAACATTCACGATACCGGCCACCTTGTAATCGAGGCGTATGAGACATTTCTGTAACTAATGGCGCCATCTTTTACATATCTCTGTATCTCATTTCACGTATACTAATATAATGTGAAAATAACTTATAATAAATATAATAGTGTTATATATTAATATAATAAATTAAATAATAACTCTAAATGTCGTGGTTTAAATAATGATTAATATCGCGATACCTATTGCAATTTACATAAACAATCCGTTATTAAATGTCGTGATATTAGTAGCTAGCTGTGCCCGTTCGTCCGCGTGGAATTTAAAATAAAAAAAATTCTAAAATACAACTAGCCTAAGTTACTCCTTATTACATCAGCTATCTGCCAGTGAAAGACTCAGTAGCCGGATCAAACAGACAGAAAGACAGACAAAAATTGTAAAACATGTTATTTTATTGTATGAACCGTGTATAATACATCCATAGGTATTTAGTTAAAAGCGGTTATTCTTTGCAAACAGACAGTCCAATTTCATTTATGTGTATAGAAGATGATTAGCAACGGTGTACTTTATAACAGTGCTTTTAGCGCCATCACGTTTTATTTTTTATTTTTTTTCATTTTAGTCACTCTATTTTTGTTATTAGCAATGAGTCTTCACGATGTAACTAAACACCTATCGCAAATCTGGCAGCTCTGGCTCCCAAGATACAAGCACTGCTTAGTTTGGGATCCATTGTTAATGTTTCGTAGTTTGAGGTTAGTTGCAAAATTTTGTATTAGTCTTCAATACTATTTTCTTATTTTTAAGACATGTGTTGTAACTTACTTTTGTATCTACTTAGATAAATAAATTAAAAAAATTAGTCAAGTTTATGATTTGCGGTCTACATTTGATTATCTTATAACAGCAATCCGGTACAGTTCTCAATTACGATCAGATATTTGACGACCGCAGTTGTGGTTCGAATATCGCTCCGTGTGCTTAGAGCCAACATTTAATGTCACGACTAGCATTGGGGCTTCCCCGTGCTTCAGCCTAGATTGGGACTAGGTTGCAGTAGAGATAACTTTTTTCTGGTCCGTTATGACATCGAAGGAAGGGTGACCTATAGGGCTGTCAGAGGACGTGAGACGAAGATAAGAGGAAAGTTCGATTTAAAAACTGTAGCGGGCAGCCCTGCGGCGCCGGCATTAGCTTGCGCGGCGCGTCCGCCCCACCCGTTTGAGGATCATGTCGGACTAAACGAAATTGCGCGGGAATCCCCCTAGCACTCGTCTCCCCGCACTTTAATTGCCCCCGTCCGCCGATTTATTTACGATTCGTGATCTGACGCCACTACGCGCCTAATCGGCCGATGATGTGGGAGCGATTGGACGCGGCTCGTGTCGCGCGGTGGAACTTGTAAAATTGTGCGGTCGACTTTTATTTTATGTATAGAAACTAGCTGACCCGGCAAACGTTGTTTCGCCATATTGATTGTTTGCTATTGAAAAGTAGGGGTTGGTGTTACGAGGGCTGAATGTATTTTAATGCCGCACCGTAAAAAAAAAGTGTGTGTGTACTTATGTACACGCGTTAGAAGTTATACTTCTTTGGCGTAACACGATAAAAATCTTTTCAAAAATGTTATCTTTCGCCTTATTCTACGTTTGTAGATTAAACGACACTAACAATAGAAAAAATGAAGTTTATTTAAATATCACAAAACAAATACAGTTGTCAGTTCTCACGCAAACATACGTAGATATGTCAAGTTAACTTCAGGGTGTCGGTTTTTCGTGACGGCGCATCGTATAAATTTACTCTCATGATTTTCCCTAACACGCCAAAAGAAGTATAACTTCGATAACCAAAAAAGAAATTGTGCACAAAATTAAAAAAAAACTTAGGGTTAGCAACCACTAAGGGGTTTAAAAATTAGTTTAAAAATCTATTCTCATTCCTACGGAATATAGGTACATAAAAAATTTTTACAAAATCGATCAAGATGTTTCGGAGGAGTATAAACTGTGACAAGAATTTTATATATTAGATGTAGTTTCGATAGGTTTTCTTCCGCAAAACTCAGATACTAGATAATGGATCGACTCGATAATTTCTCACGGAACAGCTATTGAACAGGAGTGTTTTTTTATGTTCCTTTTATTTAAGGAACATAAAAAACACTCTAAGCTCTAATAGAAACGAAAAAAAAAAAGAAGATCCTAGGCACCGGGGGCACCCACGCGGTCACTTGGAAAACCTTGATTTTTCACCAAGTAAAAGAACCTATATAAAAGAAAATTATTTAAATCAATGAAACTCTTCTGACATATATTCTTTCTAATTTATTTTCTTATTTTAAATTTTTTTATATAAATGATAAATGGGGTCACTTTTGGAGTGATTTTGGAGAACCGCACCATACACACTGTACTTAGCGTTTTGTAGTTGTTGTAGAGTTGGAGGTTTGAAAAATAATTGGTACCTAATCCATACAATTTAAATACAAAATAACGATCGTCTTAAATATAGAAAAATTCTATATAGTTGCCCAATTTATTGAATCAAATCATTTATTAATCATATCTTCGTGTAACATAACTCAGGGAAAACACAAAAAAAAAAACGCTTCCCGTGTCGCGGGTAATATTGCGTTGTTGCAAACAAGCGTTAAGACGCTAACTGTTCCACGCCAGTATGGAACAAATGCGTTTACAAAGCCAAGCCCGAGCGATGTTTTAATCCTGAACGCCTTAAAAGGTGTTCGCGGCGGCAAGCTGAAAATCCGTAAGCGACGGTGCAAAGTAGCCGGCAAATCGGGAACGCTATTAGGACGGGGCGGTTCCCGCGCGGACCAATCCACAAACATCGATAAAGTACCTACTCCTGGAGACGGCGCCAAATCCGCCGCTGACCTCAACGGGCCCCCGTAAGCCGCCGTAACGCTTTGTACCGATGTGAGCCGAATTCTAGCCATTAGAGGCGAATGGCGATTACATGGGCCATCTTTGTTGCATTCCTTATTCAGACCTAATTTTTTCGCATGTTCACCTGATCAATGTTTCATTGTATGTTTGTCCTTTACAGGGGTCATTAGCGGAAGATATCTATTGGGAGGGGGAGGAGGACTCATCCAATGAGTTCTTGGAGGTTAGGGAGCCGGAGAGCGGCCTCGTGGGCCACTTGCGTCGCCTGAAGAGGCAACTCTTTTGGCGTGAGTATTTGACCATCAACTCTAAAATGCATATAATGCAGCGCAACCTTTGATTATTGAGTTTAATTTACAATAAACAGTCAGTCAGAAAAAGCTATTTTATGATGACGTGTTGCTTTTATAAAATGAACCTATAATAATACCGCGACTACGTCCGCGTGAAATAGAGTGAAAGTGTAAAATTTAGATAGATAAAGACAGATGTGTACATTGAAATATCAATTTATATACGACATTCATGGTTTTGCCTTTTTTCTGTGGGTTATATGCATAAATGTCCGTATTAATGAGCAAGAGCACGCCACGTACAATAAATAGGCCGTGGTGACCAGAGAAAATAAAAGAGCCGTTTTGTGAGTCAGTCACAAATACTTCACAATCTTTTATTTTAATTACACAAATCTTTTATTATGATCTGATTTCATTTATAAAATATACCTACATTAATAATTACATTAAGGAACAAGATGTGAAGCGATGCCCGATCTAATTTTTAGCCGACTGCGCCAGAAGAAGGTTATGTTTTTCGAGAGTATGTTGGCATCCTCTGCAGCCTGAACCGCCTGATAGATTTTAGGTTGAGAGGTGTCGTTAGATTCTTATTTATTGTTAGACTGACACTGGGTATATCAAAATAAAAACTACACAGAAACGCAGTAGGGTTTTGTAGTTTCTTAAATGATAAGTACCCGGTGCACCGAGTTTTGTTCGGTTGTTTTTGGTAAATCGTGTATTTGGAAATTACATTTAGATTTAGATAGACAAATTAATGAGTAATGAAATATGCGTAATATTTTTCGATCTTACCGACGTAATAATAAGAAAATAATTATGAACTGGTGTATTTCACAAAAGAAAGAACTTTAAAAAAAAAAGGGGAAAAATAACAAAATCATCTGGATGGACAAAAAATAAAAAATAAAGGAAGCAATGATCTGGAATCGAAAAAAAGTAAAAAAAAAAAGTGTGTAAATGATCGTGACACGAAGCATGGCCTTCTGTTTTGATATCTCTTCACGTTTTGATATCTTAGCTAACCCAATATAAAGGACTAGTGTCAACTATTATCACAAAGAAGCTTATGGTAACTTGAAGTTTAGCAGTGCTTGGGTTTAATTTTATAAATTATGGCATCCCAAGCTGATGATAAACCCTAGCCACTTCATAATATTCGACAAACCTGAAATCCCCGCACACCAATTCCTGCGAAAGACTATTCGCGAGACTATTGAAATAAAGAAACGTCTTTATTTGATTGATTATTGCCGGGGACGTGATACAAAGCTGTTGCGTGGCCCTATTCACACTGAATTGGTGAATTCGTGGTAAAGTATCGAGCCAGGCCCATAACTTGTCCAGTTAACGTAGTAAATTTCGAGGAAAAAAAGGAACGTTTGCTATCTCCTTTCAACCTTTTAGAAAATATAAAAGCTCGTAAAAACCGTTAAAGCTTTCAGCGTCCCGTTGACTCTAGCATAATCGTGCACGTTTTAAAATGCACATTCCGTAGTCGTGCTAACATGTAACAATTTAACATAAATTAATGCTTAAATTGGTACATCAGTTCATAGTATAAAACAAAGTTGGCCCCGCTATCTGTCTGTCCCTATGTATACTTAGATCTGTAAAACTACGCAACGGATCTTGATGCGGTTTTTTTATTAGATGGAGTGATTGAAGGGGAAGGTTTATATGTATAATACATTGCCCCCGTGCGAAGCCGGGGCCGGTTGCTAGTTGCTAATAAATTAATGCCTAAATTGGTACATGACTTTGTACCAATTTAAGCATGAACTGGATGCGGCCTGCGTTGTTTAGTGTGATGTAAATATGAGTTGGCTTTGATGGATCGTTTTCTTGACCACTTCCAGCATTCTCCAGTACCACCGAGGCGCCGGCGGAGTACGAATCCGCCACCGACGATAACTACGACGAGCCAAATGGGTGGGTAAAAAATTGTTTTTGTAGTTATACTCCTTTTGCGCATTCGGAAAAACTATGAGAGTTTTTGAAGATTTTCACGATGCCCGCGCAAACCGACCCTCAAAGAGCGACATGATGCCTGGTGACCGATTTAATCTTGGCAAGCACAAATGAAAAATTTTGACATTTAGTAATAATTTCAAGTCGCACATATACTTATTTTTCTTTTTCCATTTTTGTATCGATTTAATCTTGGCAAGCAATGACAAATTTTGACATTTAGTGATAATTTCAAGTCGCACATATACTTATTTTTCTTTTTCCATTTTTGTACCGATTTAATCTTGGCAAGCAATGACAAATTTTGACATTTAATGATAATTTCAAGTCGCACATATACTTATTTTTCTTTTTCCATTTTTGTACCGATTTAATCTTGGCAAGCAATGACAAATTTTGACATTTAGTAATAATTTCAAGTCGCACATATACTTACTTATTTTTCTTTTTCCATTTTTGTGAACAATACCACAGTTTTGGGATGGTGTGCGCGGCAGTTGAATATAAGTTAAACAGATAAACAACGCTCACATAATTACTTATCAATATTTTAAAACACTTGTAAATATTTGACTAGTATTGGTATCGGAGCGACGACTCATCACCATAAATATGTAAGTGTAGTAATATTAAAAACACAAATAAATGTATTTGTGTCTATCTGTTCCGTCGATTCTTCGGCTCCAATTTATTAGGTCACAACGGTCGACACGTTTTTGACATGATACATATGTATATATTATGACATTCGGAATATAAATAAAATCTACGTACTGTAAAAGGGGTAGTTATAACACTATTTGTCAAATGTGTACAGTCCTCCTTTTTAACTTATCACCTTATATTTAATAATTCAGCAATAATATTAATCATATTCACCGATTGAGTTGATGATATTCAACAGCAGTTAGCTTAGCTTCCAAGTCACATACCATATATCTCTGTGATGAGCACATCTTGAATAATACTTAATGTATGTACTTGCATAATATTCACTGTGCGTAATAACTCTTACTTTTCTTTTCTCTTAGTTACATTAGTCTTTGTACCTTGCAATCTTGCTTGTTTCAGTAACTTTAATAGAATTAAATTGAGGTTTGTATGTTACAGAAACGATTTAGACGAAGACGATGCTAACGAGGGTTCCGGAACACTCATCAAGCCAGAACTGGACACTAAAGAGAGTAAGTACTCTCCATAGGTTGCTTAAAATACTGCTATTCTTAAGTATTCAGGAAACGTGACATCATGACGAGATGATCGCATTTTTTTAGGGTCCGTACCCAAAGGGTAAAACGGCCTGATTAGAAAGACTCCGCTCTCTGTTTATCTGTCTGTCCGTCCTGTTACCGGGCTGTATCTTTATATACATATGTCTTCTGAAGTGCGTATGTCACTGAACTCCTCTTAAACGGCAGAACTGATTTTAACGACATTTTTCGATCTTCAGAGATTCGAGATTTAGATTCACAATGCGGTTCACTACAAATTATTTTATAAGTGGTAGGATATAAGTCGTGTGTACAGGACAACGTCTGTAGGGTCCGCTTGTATATATATAAAATGATTGACATTGATATGCATCCTTCAGAGCATATTCTGTCCAAGGTCTTCCCATTCCGCAACTAATGCATCATTTTCTTGTTCATTTCTAAGCGGTACTGTATCTTTTTTATCGTAGGCTTGTTTCATTAGCAGTCCTTGGAAGCAGTTCTCACTATTGTTTACTATTCAGTTTTTCACGCATTTTTCACGCAATTCCGTTCAAAGTCACAGATTTAGGTTCCCAACAGTTTTCATGTTCTTCTATCGTAGCTGAATCTAATCAACGGGAACCAATTTTCTACGAACAGACTGTGACATCAAGATTGAGAAGTGTGTTCAAGATCTGCCATATTTTTTATTACCGGCATCCACCTGCCCTTATACGGTCTAGTGGGGCTCAGCACAACATATGAATCATGGTTGTATGGTTCTGGCATTATTTTTTATTACCGGCTGGCCAAACACCCAGATCCAAGAATAATTATCTGTGGGTCACATAAATACATGCCCCGCACGGGAATCGAACCCACGAACCTCAACGACGCCTTAGCAACGGCGCCTCCGGGTCATCTATTCTTGGACATCTGATGCTGTAATGTTCACCACTGTATTACAGAGACTCTCCGCGTGACCTTCGTGGTGATGGAACCCTACCTGAAGCAGTACTCCAACAGAGATTCGGAGCAGTTCCAGAACATCTCTAGGGGGCTGGCTGATGCGGTCAACGCCCTCTTCAACGATCTGCCCGGCACGCAGAGGGCGAACCTCGTCAGGATACAGTAAGTGTCGTATACGATCTTTTTGCCGTTATGGAACCCTTCGTGTGATGTATTGCAGCTGAGCTAATAAAAGTCTCGGGGTCCTGGTCCCCATAGCTTGGACGTAATCTCAACCAGCAGAAGGCTGATTGGTGGTGAGGATGGCCAACGGCCATCCCTAACTCTGACACTCGATGTGTTACGCGAGGACGATATGGTCTTCGACACGGCGGAGCTCCGATCGGATCCGGCCTCCCATTGGAGTGTTCCTATCGCAGTAGCTGACCCTTCATGCGCGAGTCCGACACGTACTTGGCCGGTTTTTGTTAAAATACCATAGAAAAGTTTTTGTTAAAATACCGTAAAAAATAGGCGATGGAGATTAGGATGAAACTAATAAGCGAAAAACCTTTATATATTCTCTTTATTCATTAAGCTAAGATTTAGAGTTTTTTATACCCAACTTACGGCAACACGAATATACAATCTTCCGCGACCCCCACTGCCCACTCTATTGGGAAGAATAATAGGGGCGTATGTAGGTATTGATATCGAGCCACCTTCTCAGATCGAGGCTGTCGGACGAGTTCTCGTGCAAGGTGACCATGGAAATCGTCACGTCTGGCTACGAGAACACCAAGGAGATAGTGAGGATCCTGCAGGACCACATAAAGCAGAGGCGGCATCTCGGCGTCTTCACGGTGGACGACAAAGAGTTCAGCTCCGCGGACATAACAGATCCTGGTGGGTACAAAGGAGCAGCCTCAAACCATCTTCATCGAATGTTTTCTTTTGTGTGAGAAAGTGGTAAACAAGCTGGTTGTTCACCTGATGTTAAGTGAATGAAATGAAAAAGACGACTGTTGCACGAATGGGCAGGTCCGTCCGGGAAAGTACCACGACCGAAGACGTGCAGAAGACCGGCGTAATGTGGAAGTGTTATACTTCTGCCTTTCGTCTAGTGAGTGAGGTATCCAGGGCGCACTTTGTTAAAACGTGGAATCGCATCTGCAACCCTACGGGAGTAACAAATGTCGATAGGCGGCGGTTATCATTTAATCAGGTGTACCGCCACACCTCGTTTGCCACCTTTTCACATAAAAACCCCAATATTTTGATTCTTTGCAACTGTTATGGTAGCTCATGACCGCCGAATCCCAAAATGATTTTTTCACTTTTTTATGTTTTTCACTCCATCCTATGTTGAAAGGATTATGAAAGACTTTTGGACGGCCGAAAAATTTGAAAGCTTTGAACGCCTTCAGCACCCATCTTAGGAAGGTCTGGTTTTATGCAAAAATAAGGGGTGATTTTAATGAATTTAATCCGATAAAAAAAGCCTTAGTTAAAGATCAGTTTTGTATATGTCTTTTTTGGATTATCTTAAGCACAGCAGTCGGTAAGTTCGAGAATTACTTTATGATCCAAAGTAGAAATAAATTTAAGTGTAAAATTGGAGATATGCAGCGACATTGAATCGTTGGGCTGCACGGATCGACAGCTGCATCGTGGTGTGGTGAGATCGGCATTCTAAAGGAACTTTCGGGAATCTGTTCAGGCAACGCTAACCTCGACTGCGCGTCCGACGAGATGAGGTGCGACGACGGACGCTGCGTCCCATACTCGGCGTGGTGTAATGGCGTCGTTGAATGCGCCGACGGCACTGACGAGGCCTCGTGCTCCGGCCAAGGTTCCCTTCCGTTTCGTTTGAGACCGCGTCCACGATCAGTCCAACAAAGAGAACAGATTAAACGAGTCTGTAACCACTAACACAAGTTGTGGGTTGAGCAAAGCTGTCGGTGAAACTTTGAAGGGGTCAAGTTTCCAGCCGGGGAAAGATCTTTTTCCGTTGGTTTTATTGTTAATTTGTCCTTTATATGATTAATTTTTTGCTTCGTTACTTTGATCCTATTTTTTTTTTTGGTTTGTAATGTGTTTATTTTCCAAACCCAGTTTTTATTAATATAAAAAAAAAAGAAAATGAAAGAATGATTGAAAATAAAGTGTCAAAACAAATTTTGAAACATTCCGTTTGCTAACAGTTAACATTAGCAGAACTAAACAGGATAGAAATCTAAATGGAATCTTCATTTCTTGTTATTATTCTCTTTGGTTATAGATAATTTTCCGAACGCTGGATGTTAACTTAATATTCTCGAGCAACTTGAGTTCGGTCCCCTGTGCCTGCACCAATTAGGTGAAGGAAAACATCATAAGATCGAAGAAAAAAATCGAAGATATGTGATATCCGCCAATCCGAAGAATCCGACTCTGCCCTTATAGCCTCTGTGCACAGGAGGACTTTGCCCAGCAGTGGGACATACATAGGCTGTTACTTTAGTTTACTTTCTTTTTTTGTTGATTTTGTTTTGCATCCTTCCCCTCGTCGACCTCAGACGAGAATAGAGTGGACCAAGAGCAGGAGCCGGTCAGGAGGGGGGACGATGATGAGCCCGAACCGCCAATAGGCGAAACGCCAACGGGCGGCGAGGAACGGGGGGCGAGCGCAGACCGGGACATCGAGGAGGAGGAGAATGGCGAGGAGGAAACCTGCACCGCCACCTATCCATGCATCAATTCCAACATTACCATCTGCGACAAACATAGGTGCAACAAGATAGTCGATTGCCCCGAAGGCGAAGACGAGCTGGGATGCAATGACATCGGTACACTGTTCCACTTCTTTTGTTTTTCATCGGCCAACAACAGGCGCACATAAAATTAGTACAGACAGTAATGATATATATACTCTTTACTAAGCATCTTTAGGAAATTTCATTGAGTAAAATCGAAAAAATAATAAGAACTATTCTTTTGATTTGATTTATAGATTGCATTCTCATCTGTTGTTTGGGAAACGGTGTGCTCTTCCACCTTTTGTTTCTTAACCATCCGCTTTTGTTGTAATTACCCGCAACCAAGACAATTGGCACTTACAACACAGGGTGACTTTCGGTTTTTTTTTTTTCAAATTTTTGTTTTTTTAACTGTTTTTTTTTTTAAATCATAGACGAAAATCGCGATGTCCCCGGAGGTCTGTTTACGGTTGCACCCGACAGCGACAATGAAGTAGTGCCGGCGACCACGACTGTACAATCAACGAGTAAATGCTTTTTTTTTTTTTTTTTTTATTTCTTATTTATTACACGAAGCAAGATTTGTTACTGCTTGTGAGAATATTGTAATAGACAGTTCTTATGTTTCTGTAAATTTAAACATAAGATGATCCGACGCGTCCCTAATTTATTTGTGTTTCTAAAATCTTGCGCTATGGAAATTATCTAGTTGCGGAAATTTGTGCTGTGAACACACTGAATGTGAAAATTGTGGTGGCAGGCTCTTTTCGACTAATAACGTGCCTTGTCCGAGGCCATTTTAAACGGAAAATGAATGAATTTCACAATATTGTGAGTGTGGGATAATAATCATACATAATTCTCGCATTTGCCTAAGCAGATTACTATCCTGGTTACGTTTTCATTTGTGTTCTTTGCACAAAATACGTGTTATCAAGTGGTGAGATGAAAATAAATGAAAATTATTAATTTATTATTTTAATAATTTTGTTGTATGATGAACTTAGTGTTTTTCAGTGTCTGGGTATTGATATATTAGTTTAAGTATTATTTACCTACCTAAGTAAACATTAATCACTGTATATATCAGTTATCTAGTACCCATAGTACAAGTGTTGCTTAGTTTGAGACTAGAGAACGGTGTGTATAAATGTGTCTTAAAATATTTATAATTTATTTATTTATTGAAACAATTTAAGTGTAAATAATAAAAAGAAAATACTAAAATTAAACACATGAAGCTGTAAAACCTTAGATTATAAACCTCCGCCTATACGCTATGAAAGAGTTTCAAGATTTATATGTGGTTCTCAGAATCAATGGACCCTATAATTATGCAATATATTGATATATCAAGCTTTGTTATAGGCGAAAAATAAAATTGTTTTTCGATTTGACTTTGGGGTGGGTAGATTTAGTTGAAAGGTAATTTATGTACTTGTGTAATGAATTAATATTTAAACTTTTCTTATAATTTAAACGCACGGAGAACCATCCAAACACAAATTCCTTTCAACCCGTGGCTAGACAAAACTACATTTGGTAGAAGTCTTTTGCAAACTGCTCTTAGGCTTCGTTCCGGGCACATTACTTCAAACAAGTTTAAGTTTTTAATGAAGAGATTAACATCTCCCAACTGTAATGTATGTGGAATTGTTGAAGACGTTCAACACGTTTTGATAGAGTGTGTCCGAAACGAAGCCTTTCGTGTGTAGTGTTTTGGTCGCGGTGCCACCAAAGATGTTGGGTACCTTAAAGTTGTTTTGGCCCATCCAATGTCGGAGGAAGCAAAAATGATGTTTAATTTGGCTAACATAGTTTTAAGATAAAAAAGTTGTTGAATGATTGATGTGTGTTTATAAGGGCGATGTGGTTGCACAGCGACAAAGCCCTTTAATTAAATTAAAAAAAAATGCACAGAATCGCATACTGGAATTTCATCCTAGATAATCGGTGCGGATCTTAAATAATGGATAAAGATGAAAGCATTTGTTTTGTTTTCATCTTCCTTACCCGTTTGGTACCAGGAGCTTAACACGTTAAGGAGGCATTTTCTGCTTCTGCACTCTTCTTTTCTAGCTACTATTATAGAGGGATTTTTTGCTCTTTGTCATTTGTTTGTATTAGAATTACATCGGTCAAGGAGCACTGGTCTCCGCAGATGGCCGCCCCGAGCAGTGGCTGATTTGCCCCAAGGCCCAATAGCCCCGGGCCTAGGGCGGCCACATGCTAGGGGCGGCCAATCGTGACAAAAAATTCACTTATGATAAAAACATAATATATAATGGGCTCTGATAAAGGGGCGGCTGGAACTTACCACATACGCTGGGGCCTAGGGTGGCCAAGACAACAAATCCATCACTGGCCCCGAGATGAGTTCGACATCTAGTGAGGGCACTAAAGCTAACTTTGTCGCGCAGTTTGCCTCGTGGACGAGTTCCGTTGCGACAACACGAGGTGCATACCAGTCGGTAGCCGATGCGACAGACGACCAGACTGCGACGACGGCACCGACGAAGCCGGCTGTCCCCCTGGTAAGTATTACTATTATTAAGTATTATTCCTTCACCGATGTAAACAGTCATGTTTAATTATATAGATGACGCCAGTTCACACTGCGCGGCGTTCAAAAATTGTTTCCCTAGTTATCCTGTACACACGACTTAAATTCGACAACTTAGAAATAAAAAAAAAATTGTAGTGGTCCGATTTGTGAACCTAAACCATTCTCGGATCGACCTGAAGACACACAAAAATTTCATTAAAATCGGTCCAGCCGTTTAGGAGTTCAGTGACATACACATGTATAGAAGAATTATATATATAAATATGGCATATGTAAGTGAATGTAGCAGATGATATAGAACGTATGATAAAGACTGAGATAGCAGTCTATACAATAGCAATATAATTGCATGAATTGGTGTAATTCGAGTGCCTAGACTTAAATATTTCTCCAAAATATTCATTCTGCAGATTATATAGATGTTATTGAACCATTGGAAAATATTAGACATTGTCTCAATTCCGGACAATAAGACCAGAAACAATGAGAAGACGTTAGAGCAAAAAATAACGAAAAAAGAAATTACGATATGACTATAATTATAGGTTTTAAGAATGGAACATAACTTACTTAACAAGAACATACTTTAACAAATATTTCATAAAAAATTTAATAAGCTATTATATTGGACATTTTTTATCATATCAAATGTTACATAATGTAAAAAGTTATTATACATGATGTAACATTTGATATGATAATAAAAGTTTACATCATATAAAATCTTGTTGATTATAGTATCCAAAACAGTAATCCGTGTTTTAGGTTTTTGGTCATTGACACGCTAATGCATAACACTGTCTATGTTAAGAATTACTAAAAGTGAAAAAAATAGAAGTATATAGTTGTCGACACTTTCGCAACGTGAGAACATCGACTGCTTATCGTTTGGCGTAAGCTCGCTAAATCGTCTGTTCGAGTTAATCAGATAACCCAGCTGCGAATTCAGACAGCGCCAAAAACTTTACAAAAGTTTATTTTAATATTAGGATAGGCATAACACTAAAAATAAAATATTAAACTGTCCATGTAACTTAAGATTTTTTTACCTATTTAAAAAAAATTGCCCACACAATTATTTACTTGTGTTGAAGCCCTTAAATATTTTATTTTTAAATATATTTCTTTTTTAATATACAGAATTTAGTCGTGTATCGTGTATGTAATAAGTAATTTTGTCGTGAAAGCGTAACAAGCAAACTTACTTTACATTTATAATATTATTATATTAGTAGTAATTAATATTATAATTGTAAAAGTTTAGTCTCTCATTTTGAGTGTATTACTGTAAGGGAGTATAAACGTAAACACTTCAAAATGTGGACCCAATGTTTACCTTAAACGGATCTCTGTTAGACACATTGAGTGACGGATCTAGCGCGGCGTTTCCTTGCGTTGTAAGTGGACAATTAGCTTCGTGGTTACTCGACAGAGCCCAGTCGTACTTATGCCCGTGGCTAATCAAATAGTGCATCAATTAAGAGGCCATTATTATGTTCAGCTTCGATCGCGTTTCAAACGCCGTCTGTGTGCTATTTAATTGAGACATTGATTCACATTGTTTGTGGGCACCACCAGATACCATTACTCTGTTAGTTATTTACTCTATTATTAGCAAAGTATTTCAGCGTTCAAAGTATTAAAGTATTTTTTTTATTTTAAAATCTTTGAGGGTTTCATTAAAATTGGTGTCTCTCATTGCTCGAGAAATGGTATAACTTCTTAGTTCGGAATACAGAACCCCCGTCGGTTGGATTTCAATCTGGCTTGTATAATGTGACTGATACTTTGCGCGGATACTCCGCTCTGACCGCATCGAGTCCTTGATTGCTGCTGCAGCAAAGTACCAGCCGCGTGGCCGCAAGGCAATTATAGCGTCCGTAAATCGTGCGGTCCCCGGGGACTGTTGGCCATTAATTTTAGCGTCGAACGCACACCGAGCCGTTTTGGATCCAAGAACTGGGAAGTTGAACGGTGATAATAGCTTGTGTAGGGTGACCATAAAACCCGTTAAACGAAAAACAAAAGGATAGCCCAAATTGAATGGATTTAGGTTTTTATGTAGATACCTGACTTTAGTAGATAGCCGCACACCACATAGCCAATGTAGACATGTCAACATGCGTGACTATGCTTAGGGTTCATTCAACATATGGAAACCGATGATCCGGTATTACGTAAAACTAGTGTAAATGATATTCATATCAGTGAAAGAAAAACATCGATAAATACAAGATATTCACCGAATAACAAATTTGCCAAGGTCCTTTAGTTTTACTAGAACCTTCTTTATATCATATTTAAATGAAATTTCTTAACTCATTATTATTAAAAAATGAAGCTTGAATCTCGAAAGCCTTTTCGTATTTCGTTTAGACATTTTCGGTGTCATTTCAAAATTTAATATGGAACTATTAGATTGCGTGTTGTTTTGCCCCTAATGTGGCGACCCTAGCGCTATTGCACGGTTATACTGCACTGAATACAGGAATGTCGAGTGCAGCAATCGGAATTTCAAGCGTTACCCTGTCGTAATAAGCTCTTACTCATGCACGGCCTCATCGAATGAGGGGATCTATAATTGTTTTAAGTAGGCCCCGGCTCAAATTATCACCTACTAACTACGAGTAAACTAATTGCATTCTATCATTAAGAGCTAAAAATCATTGGGAGATAAAGAAACGAGTTAATTTTTTTTTAAATAAAAGCCGTCGACGCATATGTAAGGATAGCTCCGTGATAGCCTATTGACCGGACGCTCGCTTTAGATTCAATATACTCTACTAGTAAGATACAGTAAGATACAGAGCCGTGATAGCTCAGTAGAGCCGTGATAGCTCAGTGTCCGGGCGCTCGCCTTTAATTCAATATACTCGAGCAACCTGAGTTCGATCCCCGGTGCCGGCACCAATGAAGTTTTTAACTTTAAGTGCTGACTTATCACGTGCTCCGCGGTGAAGGAAAACACCGTGAGGAAACCTGCACATTTTCGAAATAATAACAAAAAAAAATATATTTCGAAAATATGTGAAGTCCGCCAATCCGCAGTGGGGCCGCGTGGTGGACTATGCCCTGATACCCTCTGTATAGAGGAGGCCTTTGCCCAGCAGTGGGACATGTATAGGCTGTTACTTTACTTTTTACTTTACTACTAGTAATACTCTAAGTTCATTCCCGGTGCCGGCACCAATGAAATTGTTAATTTTAAGCGCTGGCTTATCATACAATTAAACGGTGAAGGAAAACGTCGTGAGGAAACCTACATATTTTCGAAATGTAATAACAAAAAACAATATTTCAAAGGTATGTTACATGTGCGGGTCGCGTGGTGGTCTATGACCTTAATACCCTCTGTGAACAGTGAAGCCCTTTGCCCAACAGTGGGACGTTTATAGTTTATTAGTAGTAGTATCTGGAGGTACCAGTAGTTTTTTTATTTTTGGTAAATCGTGTATTTTGGAAATTACATTTAGATACAAATTACTGAGTAATTAAATATGCATAATATTTTTCGATTTTACCGTCGTAATAATAAGAAAATATGAAGTGGTGTTTTTCACAAAAAAAAAAAAACAACTAAAAAAAAAAAGGGAAAAAGAACAAAATCATCTGAATGGACAAAAAATAAAAAATAAAGAAAGCTATGATCTGGAATCGAAAAAAAGTAAAAAATAAGTATGTAAATGATCGTGACACGAACCACGGCCTTCTGTTTCGGGGCCGCCCGACTACCGACAGAGCTATTATAATTTTTTTTTTCAGCAAAATTTACCATCATATTCGAATGATATTTTTCATTCCCTGAAAACAGGGATAAAGGACATTTTCTAAAAATGAAACCTAGCTAGATCGATTTTCCGCCCCCGAATATACGCACATACTAAATTTCATGAAAATCGCTGGATATATATATATATATATATATATATATATATATATATAATGTAAAACGAATAACGATGGACACTGGAGCTACATGTGTGATGTTTGGATGGATTCATTGGCGCCCGCTCCCATATGACAATTGTTGCGTTATCTTGCTGACTTCATCACGGTTTATTAAGAGCATTCGTTTAATTCATTAAACCATTAATCGTTTTCGCAGTAACAGCTTTATTATGATGAGTTTTGCCAGTGTCGTTTATTACAATCACTCCCGGATCAGGTCGCTTCAATTTAAATCACAATGTCAAAGATTCAGAGAATTACATTGCTGACGTTATACGTTACTACTTTACCTATACTGACACTGAGACGTTTATTATGAATCGTATTTTATCCATCGTTAATTAATCGTTATTATTACTATTACCAAAGAAATGTAAAAAGGTTTAGCAGATTAATTCTACGGTGTAGGGCCACGCAACAGTGTTCGCTGTTGCACAAATGGGCAGGTCCATCCGGGTTAGTACCACGACCTCACAGAAGACCGGCGTAAAGTGGCACTTCTGCGTTTCGTCTGGTGAGTGAGTTAGCCGGGGCCCGCTTTATTAAGAGGTGGCAACGCATCTCGACCCCAGGGGTGTTGCAAATGTCCACGGGCAGGCGGTTATTTATCACTTAACATCAGGTGAACCACCAGCTCGTTTGCCACTTTCTCACATAAAAAAAATATTTATTGGTTGGGTAATGCATTTTAATTCTTTTTTCTTTAAATACTTTTAATTGTACAGGATTCTGTTAATTAACACGCTATATAGTCTTAACATTATGTTAGCTAACTGCACAGAGAAACCCTATTCTAAGTATTGTAACACAAATAGGCTATAACTTTACTTTTTTGATCAATAACTTGCTTCGAACTTCAACTTCAAAGATGGTATAGAAAGATCTTCGTATAATCCATGCCCAATTTTTTGACACATTTTTTAACACGTTTTCTAGCCCCAAACTAAGCCACGCTTGTACTATGGCTATTAGAGAATTGATAAATATACCTAAACATAATTTTCTTTGGTGAATTAATATATGTTATAAATACTAAAACACCTAGATACAAAAAAAAACTATGTAGATCACAAAATATTTTTCCAGTAGTACCACAACCTTTAGGGCAAGAGGCAGGGCACCCATTAGGCCAATCGGGTCGTGAAATTTAATTATTATTAATTAAATAATATTTTATCATTTCAATATAGCTCTAATATTTATTTTATTTTTATTATTTTATAATATTAGTGTATGGGTATGTGTTACGTTCACGAGAACAATTTTATAATTAATGAATTAATTGTTAAAAGGTTTCTCAAAGCCTTTAACATAGCTGTAACCATCTTAAGAACCTTGTGACAGTTAATTGGACGAAGAATGCCGAGAAGGAAACAATGCCCGACGGACGTGTTAAACGAAATACTTGTCGCCCGTTGGGTTGACGTTCATTAACAGGACTCTTTAAAGTTGATTGAAATAGATTGGGATGGGTTAAACATCAAATGAACGTGACGCAATTTTGATAGAATTGAGATTTTACCAACGTACGTTCTTCGTTCCAAGTGAATTTTGGATCAGCGGGTCCGTTAATAAATGGAGAATGAGATAAGAGCGCATGTGATTAACGAAAATTAAATCTTTTCTGTAAATTTTAACGACTGTACGGAGAAAAGTCTCGTAATTTTTCACAAATGCCAAGTTTACCGACCCAAAAGTACAACCAGACGCGGTACAACTGTATTTTATCGACGTAAGGCTTTGCTGTTGACGCCCTGCGAGAATTACTAAGACGTCGTACAGTGGAGCGAAGTTATTCAGTGCGTGCGACAGGCAATCCTCAGAACTATATTGATGCGTTTGAGTAAAACGACCTCTCTTGCCATTCGGAGCAGTGGGGTGGGGTCGCAGGTGCGGGGGTTTGAAATCGGATAACCACTGACTCGACTAAATCGAATATCGGATTCTGCACCTAATAACGTGTTGGATTCCACTTTAAAAGTCATCTAAACTTCTGCACTTTGATCGTATAGAAATTAATTGGTCGCTTTCCATGAAAGATCACTGTCCATAATACAGTTTCCTCTTCGTGTGTTCTAATCTACATTAACCTAGCAGCGCGTATTTTGGAGAATGTTTACGAAATTCGCAGACGGCATTCAGTTGGCTGTCATACTATCTGGATAGTTTTACGTGTCTATAATAATGCCGCGGCTGTTTCGCGTTATGGACTGCTTAGTCTACGGGCAGTACTAATGGGACGGGAGTGCGGTGGGCGGACCGGATATAACGTTGCAACGGGACGCAACCGCAACAAAGCTATGCAACGTAGCACCATTCACCCAGTCCGGTCGGGGTTTTCACTTAAACAGCGGCGCGACGCCGGTAAATCTGCGTGTATTTGATACCAAACTAAGTTAGTGTCCATCGAACAGATAAACATAGCTAGTTAAAACCCTACAATCTGCTGGAAAAGACCACGCACTCAATGATGGCAATATCTACGACCATAGAATTGAAAGTGGAATTTCTGTAGAAAATTTCCTCTAGGAATAAATTTTAGGAATAGGATAGAATATACCTACTTTGTTGCACACAATGAGATACAAAAAAGAGAAACACAATAAGCATATATGTACTGTACATATAGGCGGCCTCATTCCTATAGTGGCAATTTCTTACAAGCAAACTTAGGGCATAGAAAAAAATTAATAAAATTATATTATTGCTTATTACGGTGGGTACAGTTAATTAAACCTTCCTTTCTTGACAACCGAATTTGTAATTAAAACTCCTAAACGCACCTAAACAGATTATAAAATAAAAAAAAACGAGTACATAGTTTACTTGCTGCAAGATTTATCTAATTTCCTTTTTTTTTCTTTTTTAAAAACATCTCCCTTACTGAAGGATAATATGCGATAACCTTTTTTACGAGAAAGTCTCAAACGAGCAGACGGCTGATGGTAAGTGAATACCGCCGCCCATGGACATCTGCTACACCCGAGGGTTACAGATGCGTTGACAACCTTTTGATAATTGAGCTCCGGCTACCTCACTCACCAGACTTGTATTGTAAAGACGTTTTGCATACACAAACTTGACGTGGACACGCCACCCAGATCAAAACAGTTATATGTGGGTAACGCAAATAGTTGTACCGTGTGGGAATCGAACCCACGACCCTCGGCGCCGAAGCTTTACCCTTAACCATTGCGCGACAGAATCCTCAAAATATTATTAAATTATAATTATTAAACGCAATTATCAATCAATTAGAAAGTTGTGAACAAATAGCTTTTGTAATGCACACAAATGACAGTCTACCGTCGTGTTCAAAGTAAAATTTGTGAGGTATCTTGCCTTCACGATGTAGGTGTGTGTGTACATATTCAATTGTATATTTCCAATTAGCTCTGTCGGGACGTATATTTCCAATTGGCGCAATCCCACTCATTATTGCTATGATGCGTTTTGAACACTTCACTTAGGTACGTCCATGAACCACGCATAGTCGTTTGTCCGCGGCCAGAATCGATGCAGTCTCTGCAAGTAGAATTTGTATATGTATTTTGCGCGGAAGAGATTGGGTAAAATTAAATAAATAAATAAATATTAGCGGACACGATTTTACACAACGTTCTCTACTAACTTAGCCACGCTTAAACATATACTTAAATATAATTTACTTTTGTAAATAAATATTTTTTTTAGTTTATTAGGTCTTCTTAACTAAATACAATCTAGCATGTTTACAAAAGAAATATAAACATAAAAAATGATGATTCTATACATAGCAAACACAGCATGCACAATGAAACTCAATATAACATAAGTTACAAAGGTTTATCTATTGACTACCATTAAATGAGTAAAAACTATTTTTTTTATATAGCGTGTCATTACAAACGCGACAATAAATGAACACACATATAGAGTAAACTTTTTAAAATTATTTTAAACATTTACATTCGTTAAACATCAATATTTTCAAATTTATAAAATTTTCCAAAACAAACAATTTTAGAACACCCTTACGTATAAAACTGTAATGTAAAGTTCATTTGTAAAGGTCACAAAGCATATGAATGGGTCGAATGAATTAAAAACGGTATGTTTTATCCGTTAGAAGGAGAGATTTGTAATGCGACGCTGTGGCAACGAATGAAAAAGTCTCTGAATGTATGAATCAGTCAGTTATAGTCGTATAGGATGTTACTAATTTTGTTTCTTTTTGATTTAATTAGTTTGAAAAATATTACTTTTGAATTATAGATTTTTTTAACGTTTATACTTTTTATGATTATTGGCAAGTAGCGTTAGACGTGTGTTCATTAATTGTCGCGGTTGTAACGACACGCTGTATATAAAACCAAATAAAACATTATACTTAATTGACTAAATTAATGAGTAAACTATTTAATACTATAAACGACTATATTATACATATATAAACACCCAGATACTGTACATCACATATTATTTTTCCAGTAGTGGGGATCGAACCCACACCCTCTGGCGGGAGAGTCCCACTCATTACACCCCACGCCAATTGGGTCGTCGTTTTAAGTCGTATTGGTAAACCTAAATTAAATTATTTACAAAGTTAATGTCAGCGGGTAACGCCATCGATTCTCTTAAGCAATTTTATTCCCACGGCAAGTATTTCATCTTAACTAATCAAGTGTTTGAAGGAAATATTCAAATCATACATGATGGTGACGATTTAAAAGGGGAAAGAATTATTGTTATCACGACATCGGGACACTTCTGCTAAAGGTTCGAGAAATGTTGACCAATGTTTCTCTACAATAATAGAGTAAAATAATTTACTTAATTTACTTAAAGATAAACTTTTAGTACTTTAGGTAATAATCCTGTATTTAGTCTTGGATACGAATTATGCTAATCGATCTGGATTCTAAATTTCATCTAAATGTTTAGTGTAAAAGTTTATAGTAACCAAGAAAAACACAGACAACTAGTATATATTTAAGCCGAATCTAAATTTCATCTAAAATATGTAGAAAAAGTGCGAAAAGATTGTCGCCGTTGTGGGAATCGAACCCACGTCTTCGGAATTCGCGGCCTGAATGCCGTTCGTTCGCACTTTTTCTACATATTTTAATGTTCAATCTTAAGTGCAAAGATTAGCACTATAAACAGTTTAAATTTCTATAAATTTCATCTATTTATCCTTATTTTATCTGTTACTACTGTTATACTAAACGGACTGTAGGATTATGCGTTCTATCGAATTATTTCGAATCCGTGAGTCAACAACAGTTTGGGATCATTCAACATCACAGTTGCGCTGGCTTTATTGCAATTAATCAATTCCTCAATTCAATTTCTCTATTCTCAAATCAACTAGCCAAATGCTAGATTCAATTGCGTGGGACGCAATTGATTCTAGCATTTTGCACAGTAAACAATATTTATGGTGTTTATATATTACTCCGAGAACGCATTAAAGTCTTCCTTGTAGCTCATGACCCTATAAACACTGATTAGAATAATTACCCGACGTTATTAGTATTAAATCAATAATTGATTGTAATACTAATAAAACAAGTTAAATCCCTTAATTTAAACTGCAACTACTCGTTTTATGAAATACTGCCAAAAATGTTTCTAATTGACGAAGTAGTGATATCATAACTTTAAGAATATTAAAGCGCTCGAACAATGGAGTAAATTATTCTAAATAAGATTCAATAAAGGCACGACCCTCTATGGCTGTTAAGAAGATAATAAAAACTTTTGTGTTTCACTATTTCTGACAGCATAAATGGCACGTGCCTAAATAAATGTTGGAGAAATATCACACTTTCACATTGGCAAAACAGAGCTCCAGCAATAGAAATATACTTACATAAACTTTTTAGTGTGCAACCCAATTATTTGATAAATGCTGGTAATTTTCGAGCAACTTCGGTAACTTTCCGTAACAAATTAGATTACTTTAGAACTCAAATAGTTCCTAATAGTCCATGAAGCGTCCCCCATCAACTTAGTAAGCCATATTTTCTTTTTCGTTTTTGTAAATTATAAACGTTCACGCAAATCGGAACTCTGGGCGACTGTCTACATGTAGACAAACTACATGTAGATTGCCTTCGATGCGAGCTTTTCATAGAATAAGGGAACGAGTAAGAGATGATTATGATTCAAAGAAAAATATGGTTGTCGCTAACGTCAAGAAGTAAAGCTTACTTGAATAATGAATACCCCAGTTCTAGGAAATGTTTTCTGAAAGACATTTGATATATTGACTCTATACTGCCCTTACAACCTTCGTTTCTCATTTAATACAAATATAATAATAAAATCTTACAGGAAATTAATTCTAACCGATGCAGTATTATCAAATTAACACAAAGTATCATTGGTATTACGTTCAATGGCTAAATGCCAGCTCCATGCACCGCCTTAGTTGAGCCCGATCGAAGTCAGTGACGTTATAATTTGCCTAATTACCGCTCTACCGTTCTAATCTTTGGCTTTTCGTGAGCGGGCGACCCCACCAGCGCAGAATAAGTTTCTATATGAAATTGAATATCGCCTGGATCGCGTGCCTGCCCCCGTTTTACGAGTCGCCCGCAACCGATGTCTCTCTCGGAGCCTGATGGGTTATGAATTAAATTGGCGAAGTCACCCCCGTTCTGGACGGATAGCGAGTCCGACGTCCAACTACGATAACCCCCATTTAGCGGTTGCTGTCAACTATCGATACGGGACATGCGTTTGTGGCATGTCGCTTGTTTTACATTCGGCTAGAGCAATTGACGGCCATCCACATTGGGGGCATTATCTCTGGTAACCGTTTCGACACGAGGCACGCTCGGGACGCGACCGTACAAACTTCTGACGGCGCCTCGCTAGGGCACATGATAAGCGTGATGTATACCACAGTCCTTATCGCCGTTAGTGAATTATAACACGGCGGGGGCCTTGAACTTTGGGTGTTATTCTAAAACGGTTCCAAACAAAAAGATATACGGACCGTATCTATTGCGTTGCTTAGCTGAACCTAAAGTTATGGCGGCGGAGAATTTCACGTTTTAGAGATTGCCACTCTCAAGGGTGTCTACAAATACTATACAGGTCAGAACGAGAGCAGAACAAGCAATCTTCGGGCAACACTCAACGTGCGTAGAATATCAGAAAAGCTGGCAGTTCTTAGATTGTAGACACCGCCGCTAATAAGGCTAGGTTCGCGTACAGTTAATAGCTTACATGTGCACTTGTGGCGTGCAGCGGGCAGGCGGACGCACGCCGACGTCGCTTCCGCATCGCACCGAGACCCCTCGACATACCGATCGCGACATTATCTGTCGCTTGTCGCTCGCACCAGATTTATGTCGGCGACTGTACCTGAACTCAGGACGCGGAGCGAGCTTGCGTGCTTACGTAACGTTTGTTAAGGTTCGACGAGACGAGAACGCTCCTAAGTGGGCGTTTTGACTTTCCGAATCGACTTTAGCTAGCACTACTAGCTAAGCTTAGCTACTACTTAACTAGCTTCACTTTAATCAGCTGTGCGCTTTTTCATCTGGCCCGCGTCGGTCTACGAACACCGTGATACGCAAATCTCCCCACTAACGTGCCCTCATTATATCGTTAGACTTGATACTTTTCACAATCGGCGGTTTCTTTAAAAATTTTTTTTCTTTTAATACTGCTATTTCCTTTTTCTTTCTTCCTGGTTACTTCGTATAGTGTGAAGTAAGCCTTTCAGACCGATAGGTGAAACTTGTGGTTCCAGCAGCAATCTTCATAATTAAATCAATAATTTCCATTTTCCGGGTCAATATTGTGCTTATTCCCAAATCCTAAACGACAAGATAAGATAATTGCATAAGTGTAGTAGACATATACATATAAATTAAAGTATATATGTCCCACTGCTGGTGAAAAGTCGCACACAGACCTATCACGGTAGTTGATACAAATATATATAATATATTAACATATGTTCAACATTTTGAGCTATCACGGTAGATATAGTATATTAATACATTGTGGTCTCCTTTTTCTCCCAGCCCTCACGGTTCCCGTGGCAGAGCTTGTCGCGTGAACACTTAAAGCTTTAAGTTAAGTCCACTCACTAGCCGACTTCAATAGGAGGAGCTTCTCAATTCGACTGTATTTTTTTGTTCAGAACTTTTAACTGGGCGAACCGAATATGGTGATTCTTTTTTCATTTGAAAGCTGGTGCTTCCCACGTGGTCCCAAATTATTCACTGGTATTGGATCTTCGTTTCCGGAGATACTAAGGGAAAACAATTATAAAATGAATGCAGAGCGAGATATTTGAAGACGGTTTTATTTTTCGTTAGTGAAAAAAAAAATGGTTTTTCATGATCGAATTACAAACACAGTCGGGGGCGCCATCTAGTGTGTACAGATCTAGATTTAGTGCGGGCGTTCGGAGTAACGCTGCGCAGAAGCCAACCGAGCGGGCGTTATCTGTTTCCATGGCAGCTGAGGTCACGGCGCTGACGCAACCAGTGTGTCATGCGGAGCAATGATTGCGCGATGATCATCGGATATCATCGTAAATTAGTCTCGATGAGTTCCCGGGCCACCGATGGCCGCCAATTGTCTCGCATTTAATTGTGTATCAACGCCTTCGAGGCGCCGTGTCGGGTATACCGAACTTTGACACAAGCGGTCCGTAGTTAATATTACTAGCCACCGTCCAGTGGTCGAAATTCGAACATAATTACACATGGTAAAAAAAATATTAGCATTCTACACTCCCCTATATGTACAAACTATAAAATGTTGGAAATTTCATACTCCACCGTCAACGCGCTTTTCATAGAAAGGGGTACAAAGTTTTTGCTTCACGTATCTTATCCTTTAAACGAGCAATTCTTGTATATATATAATTGGAATCTCGGAAACGGCTCAACGGTTTCATGAAATTTAGTATGTGCGTAGATTCGGGGGCGAAAAATCGATCTAGCTAGGTTTCATTTTTAGAAAATGTCGTTTCATTCCTGTTTTCAGGGAATGAAAAATATCTTTAGAATATGACAGTAAATTTAGTCGCAAAAAAAATGTTATAATAGCTCCGTAGGAAATCGGGCGGCCCCAAAACAGAGGGCCGCGGTTCGTATCACGATCATTTGCACACTTATTTTTTTTACTTTTCTTTCTATACCAGATCATTTAATTTACTTATTTATTATTTTTTTTATTTCCAAAATACATGATTTACAAAAAAAAAGCCTCCAGGTACTTAATATATAATAATAATAATATAGACAGTTAAGACACTTCACATTTCAACTGTTCTCGCCCATTTTCATGCGACGAGCTCCTTCTAACACTGAACTCGACGTGTATACTCAGAATATCAGCCGGTCATACTTTTACATACCGTGTCAGTACTCTTGGTATATGAAAAAAACTTGGAATTATAAGTAGTTGAAGTATAATCAGTTTAAAGTATATGTCAGAAAGTTGCAATTGGTTTCCATGGTAATACCGTGAAATTGATGGCCAAGCGACCGCTTTCATGTCGCCTGCAGTCAGTCGATGTAAAAATTTACCCTCATAATTTTTTTCCAAACGCGCCTTAAGAACTATAACTTCAATAAACTGGCAACTTCTAGAGACAGTTGAACGATTAAAAAGCTGGCGTATATTGCAGTCCTCTTTTAATTTTTAGCTACTAGTACACTTTTTTTACGGAAACCTTCGCGGCGTGAACGCCCATATCCTTATATCTACTCGGTTTCGTCCCAACCTAATGAATGATAATGATTTTCGTACATCGGATGTTAGCCAGCTGTTCAAGTGCAAGACGGAATCGGGCTCGGAGGCCTCCGTACCATTATCTATAAAAACGTCAAAAAAATCATGTCTGTTGTATGGGAGCCCCACTTAAATATTTTATTATTCTGCTTTTTAGAAATTTTTCTTAGCGGCAACAGATACATATAAATCATCTGAAAAATTTCAAATGTCCAACTATCACGGTTCATGAGATAGATACCTGGTGACAGACGGACATACAGAGAGCGGATCGTAGTAATATGGTCCCGTTTTACCCTTTACTCTGGTACTTTAGCGTCATTACAATAATACTACAATTATTTAACTTCCAATTAAAATGTTTTTATGACATATTATCGAAATGTTATTACATCTCTGTCTAGATTACCTTATCACTTATTGTTTGTTTAAGCGTGTTATTTAAACAAAATCTATCAGAGGCGGAGGTGAGATTAAGAATTTCGACAACATTTAAAAGTAATTGGACCGGGGGAATTAACTCGGGGATTCCATCATCATGGTTGACGTACCACAGCCAGTGTCCAGAATGGCTCCAGTACGGGAATCGGTACGAAATCCGATATGGTATCGCGTTCAACGACGGCGATCGTCCTCGAACGCCCGTCCGGTACGGGCGCAGCCGAGGCTGGGTACGGTGTCGCTCGGATGGCGTCGCTGAGACTGCACCGCCGCCATCTTAGGTCCGACTTCGTTGACTCATCCCGCGCCCGGTTGACCCGCATAACGGCACATAAAAATCGCCCCGGAGCGATGCCGTCCGGTGCTTCAGTAATTTTAGATCGGCCCCACCGTTTCGCGTGTATCACCGTACGTTCAGTTTTATGGCGCAGTTCCGTCGCACTGTATCACTTTTCGCGCGCGCCCGCCGCACCGCGCGTGCAAAAGCCCGCGACAGGATTAGCCAAAGCTGACGCCCGGAGCCGACAGGCTCGTCCATAGTACGCGTCGTGTCCCCGACGCGTGCCGGACAGACCGCTTGTACGCAACGGACAGTACGAAAGGTGTCCCCTTGTTATAGTTAGATAGAGCTGTTGCTCGTATAGTACCTGAGCGATAGAGGGAGGGAAGCGTGGCTCGGTTAAAGGGCAACCGAGCTTGGTGGCCTGTGGGCAGGTGTACGATAATAACGGTTTTCGCATTTGCGAAATTCGCAAAATTAAAACTCACAAGAGCGTACGTCACTAGGAATTGACTATACATATGTCGGATTATAATTTCCACTTGGCGTACTTGACGGTACCGAGACTTTACATGTTTTTGAAACACATATTTCATCATCATCAGCCGCAAGACATCCACTGTTGAACATAGGCCTCCCCCTTAGAACGCCACAACGAACGACACTTTGCCATTTGCAATCCACCGGTTGCCCGTGACCCTTATGATGTCGTCGGTCCAATTATATTTATATTAATAATATTTTGGTACGAACAAACAATGAAGACACACGTCGTAATTATGAATGTTATTAAATGAAATGACGTTAAAAATGAAATCCATTCATCCCAATTTAATCAGAAATTAACAACAACACACTTGACGCGTAAACTAAATAACTGCATGTTATTATCAAAACACAAATGGGTCTTTTATGATTTGACCTGTATTTTTGGGCGCGACAGGTGACATTTTTTCGCCATTAGTCGGCACTCGCAGCCCGTCTTAAGTCGCCGTTGTAAAATTACTTAGCGCAGTTTGTTTAGCCGAGAATTCAGGAATGTGCAGTGTGTGGAACGATTACAGGGCTGACGTCACTCTGTGTAAGAGCTGCTATGAGTAACGATGCCCGTCGGACATAAATAACCGACTACGATATCATATGTAGGCTTGGGACTGTAATTTTAGGGTTCCGTACCGAAAGAGTAAAAGGGTCCCGCCTAATTCCGTTGTCTGACTATCTGTCACCAGGCTGTAACTCATGAACTGTGATGGTTAGACAGTTGAAATTTTCACAGATGGTATTTCTGTTGCCGCTATAAAACAAATACTAAAACACAGAAAAATATTCAAAGGGGTTCCCTCCCATACAACAAAAATGATTTTTTCCGTTTTTATAGATAATGGTACGGACCCCTTCGTGCGCGAGTCTTACTCGCACTTGGCAGGTTTTATGTATTACAACTATTCGTTAAAATTAACTATCTCACTCGTGCCGTCTTCGCAGGGTTATACGAAAGATTCGCCCAAGTTTTCGTTTCGTTATATTATGAAGGTTAATAATTAGCCAGTAGTATTTTTTGACTATTACTTGGTAGACGTTCGGAAATGCAAATCAACAACAAATCCTAAAAATGACAGGGGTTGTCACAGACCTACTCGTATTGTTATACACGGAGAAAACGTATGTAACAGCGTTTCAGTGTAGGTTTTTGCACGTGAGCATCATAAACAATCGACGTCCATCCGTTTAAAGGGTCCGTCTTATTAATTCTATCACGGTACGCCGTAATGGAACGGTGGTTCACTGTCGCACGAATGGGCAAGACCGCCCGCGTCAGTACCACGACCTCACAGGAGACCGGCGTGAGGTGGGAGTGGTACACTTCCGCGTTTCGTCTGGTGAGTTAGCCGGGCGCAATTTAAGGTGGCAACGCATCTGCAACGCTATGGGTGTTGCGAATGTCGATGGCGGTTATCACGACTGCCAGCTCGCTTGCCACCATTTCACATAAAACGAAACGCTGACTCACAGGAACCTGTAAGTAGGCTACGAACTCTTCGGATGTTACACCGCGTTGCGTGTGATTCGCGTTTCGCAATTACAGAACGCACACGCGTAAACAGTCTGAGCGATATTTATTTATTGTGCAGCGCGTCATATAATAGTTATTTATGGAATTGATAATGTAACATAATAATATTACACTTATGGTCCTTGAGAGCGTAGATGTCGGGTTGACGATTGATAGATATGATAGTAAAGAATGCGACAAAAAACCAGAAGTTCATCTGAAACTTCTTAGGTCGCCGGAGAGTTTGAACCGCTTTTAGGGTTGTCAATGCAAATGCCAGGTGCAAATACCCTCAGGTGTTGTGGATGCCCATGGGTGGCGGTAATGACTTGACATCATGAGCCGCCTTCTCGACTTGATAACTTTTCACATAAAAAAAAAATTACAAAACAACATATCGTATGGTGAGTGAGGTAGCCGGGGCCCACTTCATTAAATAAACCTTATACGTCTATTTTAAAAACTCCGTTACTTTTTTCTAATTGCAGACGAGGGTATGTTTGGTCCATTGAAATAGTAGTTTTCAATATCGGGAAACTCGAAACGTCGACTGCTCTTAATATTTCCGTGTCTCCCAGAGCACTGAGACTTTACAGAAATAATTTTATTATATATGGATTCTGGTGGAACATACTCACTCTAAATTTAATTATGCGATTTCCCACACATTCGCTATTTTATTAATGCATTCATGATTTTAAGTTTTCACTTAAGAGATAACATTTTGGATTTTTCTTTTTGACATAAAGTAGGACCGCATCTATCTTAGCTATTGATATAAATCAACTGCAGAATTTTTATTATTGACTGATAATAAAATGGTCAAATGTTCGCAAATACAATATACGTTGGTACTTACGGTATTTTCACCGAAAGTTTAAAAAACAAACAGCACAGTTGCTGTTGTTAAATGAATTTATAAAAGCAACAGCCTCAGCTATAGAGGTCCACACACATACGGTGAGCCTAAGCCTCCTGCTTGATTGCTCCTTTTTCACAATAAAAAAATATCTGAGGGTCCACGGCTCTACCTTATAGAGTATTTCTCATACATAGAGGCTAAAATGACCGGACCAGGCAATTAATATCACTTAAAGAATTTTCTCGTTTACCCAGTACTCAGTTACTCGGTTGGTTTGAGTGTATTTATTTAACAAGCTTTATAAAATTTATTTCATTTTACCGTAATAATATTTGTTAACATCGGCCGTTCGTTACTTTGAACGCAAAGCGAGTTATTGTAGTGTCGTCTCCTGAGTCTTTGGAATGCATTACAAATACACTCGAATTCCGTCGTGTTTCAAAGGGGACACAATTAACAAATATCATGGTCTGCCTAGATACCTAAGTTGGATCTACATAGACAAATGAAAGCTAGGGTGTATGTAATGTTCCAAATAATTTATAAGGAACTTACCATATGTGCATCATAATTTCACATCATACAGTTTTATATTTAAGACAGGTCAATAAGCAGTGAAAATAAGACGATGTCGAAAGGAATTAATACGTAATGATGACTCCTACGTAATGATAGCCGTGATAGCTCAGTGTCCGGGCGCTCGCCTTTAATTCAATATACTCGAGCAACCTGAGTTCGATCACCGGTGCCGGCACCAATGAAGTTTTTAACTTTAAGTGCTGACTTATCACGTGCTCCGCGGTGAAGGAAAACATCGTGAGGAAACCTGCATATTTTCGAAATAATAACAAAAAAAAATATATTTCGAAGATATGTGAAGTCCTCCAATCCGCAGTGGGGCCGCGTGGTGGACTATGCCCTGATACCCTCTGTATAGAGGAGGCCTTTGCCCAGCAGTGGGACATGTATAGGCTGTTACTTTGATGACTCCTGGCTTAATCGCTAAACCATTGGCTTCGGCCCGTCGTCCAGTGCTCGATTCCAAAGCGGCACTAGACGTATTTGTCATAACTAACCCGGATTTGGGAGTTTGTTCACAAGGAGGGCTGATGTGAGGCAACCGGTATTAAAAAATCTAGTTAATACAATTAACAACATGATTCAAGTGTACAGACTTCACGTAGGTGAAAAGCCCAGGAGATAGAACAAGAAATAGCCAAGGCAGTCCAAATGTAGAGTCGGAGAGAATCTTAAAAACTATTAACTTCTGGCTAAGATCGAATAATATACACTAGCTAAATTTGGTTATGTGCTAAATGTCTTTGTATATAGTTGACCTTTTAAAAAACAAGATAAATAAGCCTACTTCACATGTTTATGTATTTCCATGTTTTTATCATCATATAAATATTATTGCTTATCATGCTTTGCTTAGTTATGTAACTGTAAATATAGTGTTGTAACGTGAGAGTAATGAAAAACATTTAGACGAGCTTTATTTAAGTCTATGCTTGTTGAAATAATTCGTCGATACCTGTCGACGAATTTCGCCCGAGCTAATTGCGCCCAGCCGCCACGGGACCGGGCCCACAAGTGTTGAGTTGTTGCAAGTTTAATTGTCGCTTTAGCTTCTGACGCTACCGTTACAGTAGTAATGGCGACGGGATTTAGTACGTGTACAATCAATCGTTTGCCCCGTACCAAAGTCGCTAATCGAGAGTACTCTATAACGATGATGTTGACTCTATTGGAAATTATTGTTGTTGGTTTGTGATGCCGTCGAGTTATGAACAGTTTTGGTACGGAGAGGACCAAATCAAGTTTTCCATCCGTACAAAGGGTAATCGCTATTTTCGCTTTCAGAGCCTACTTAAAATTCCATCATCTATTTAAAGTAAGCATTCGGATGCGCCCGCAAGGGAGCGCACTTCACCCACCAGCCTGTGGCGTTGTTAATAGCTTGTGTAAATATTTCGAGCGTATGTACTCGCAGATTGAGGTGAGGCGCACAGCGCTTCCAAAATGAAACAGCTTCCCTTTGTTATCCATTAAACAATTTTAGGTTATGGTAAAACGATAATTAACAGTCTGTACCTGTCCCACTGCTGGGCAAAGTTTTCCTCGGTACGTAAGGTATAATGGCATAGTCCACGACGCGACTCCAAAGATTTTGTAGACTTCACATATCTGCGAAAGGTTTCAGGACTTTCATTAATTCTAATGTTAGTGAACACTTTTTTCCCTGAGAGCTGAGAGCCGTGATAGCTCAGCGTCAGAGTGAACCTAAGTAAGATCCCCGTGCCAGCACCAATGAAATTATTATTTTAGGTGCTTACTTATCACGTGCTTGGCGGTATGGAAAACATTATGAGAAAACTTGCAAATTTTTGAAATAATAACAAATGAAAATATTTTGAAAACATGTGAAGACCGCCAACCCACAGTGGGGTCGCGTGGTAGTCTTTGCCCTGATATCCTCTTTACAGAAGAGGCCTTTGCCTAGCAGTGCAACATTATAGACTTTTACTTTACTTGTTTTCATTAT